AGCAATTATATGATAAATACATCCACTGCTGTTTTCAGTCGTTAAACCGTTCTGTGCAACCACATAAGCCCTTAAGGCCCACCTCGAGATTGCCTACTGAAAGTTCCAACATTTCTCATCAAATAATGTCAGTATACCAGTCCTGCGTTTTATTTTAAATATGACAATGTGACCACATTTGCGACTAACAGAACACATCGAGTCATCTAAACAATGTATGAGTGGTGTAACGCAATTTTTTATATGAAATTCATGCACAATAAGAGTTTACGTCAGTTTCTACCGTAAAGTCCGATAACACTGTTTACAACAACACATTATGTCATTTTCTACCCTAAGTGACACGATAATTATATTTAATTGACCAAAGAATTTATCTGAGAAATTCCAAAGGTGAACTCACCTGTCGTTTCGGCCTGTTGACCGGTGAAATATGAAAATTACTTCAAATATGTGCATTAATATCAATGCCTATTTCAAGGGAAAGACTGCCTCAGAATTTCACCGAAGAATGAACAGTGAAATCAGAAACAAGTGGAAGTACGTCCAAGTGAAAATAAAACAAATTTACCAAAATATTCAGACTTCAAACCTCTGTAAAGAATCAGCGAAACCAAAACTACTACCATTATTTTCATTATTTCAAAATTTATTGTCTTTTCATGATCTTACTTTCACCACTACTTCCCAAAAAGAACTGTCATTAAAAATCCTCTCGCCTTATCTGTGTAACTGCTTACAGTGTTGCGATATAGTTCCGCATGCTGAAAATTCCACACTGTGACATTAGTACTATTTTTGGAATGCAGAAAACTATTATTATTGAGAAAATAGGTGTGAACAGCGAAATATAATTGCTATATTCTCAAAGAACAGCCTACTGTCAACAGCATGAAGTGCTGAATAAAATTATCTTCATGTCCAATGTAAGAACAAAAGTTGACTCAATACTAAATATCTTAGGTGGACAGGCCTGAAAGTCGACTGGAAATAGGTTGGCTGGTCGATATGGTCTCTCTTGTCTGAAATTTCATTACTTTCCTCCACATAGGATCTGAAAGGACTAGAACCACACAAAATAAGCTATTCCTCCATTAAGAACGTTCGGGCTTTCTTGCAGCAAACCACTAGAGATAGCTCATCAGAGTGCAAAGACTCTAGTGCGCTCTCATTTGCTCAACTCGAATTTTCTACCCATGAAACTCTCTCTTAGCAGATGTGACTGCTGCACAGCCTGTGAAAAGTTTTAAGCGGGAGCTAAAAAATTGTGCAGCGACACAAGGGTTGCGTCCAAGCCGTCTATCAACATTAGATCTCACACTATTAGTCAGCATACACCTAATTTTTTAATCTTACTGCTGATCATTCTCCAATATTTTAATCTTCTCGCTACTCTTTCTATTCATTCATCCTCCTCCAGCATCTGTACATCCTCGATTCTCAGTAGTTAACTGATCTCAGCACCCAATATATCCAATTCAATCTCTAATCCCACTGGGGTCCACCAGAGCTTCATCAGACAAGCGATGGGACCGATTCCACGGAACGTTACCGAAAATTAGGGAATCCTACCTTAAAACCGTGAAGCGAGCACAAATGACTCAATTTGGGTTAAACTGGTGAAACTCGTGAAAGCTATACCCGGCTGAACTTATATGTAACGTTGGTTGAAATTTTGCTACATTGGATATATTCGATATTATCAGGTATAGGGCGCTGTTTTTGGTCTCGGGTGCTTTTTCAAGGTTAGTTTTCCAGTAATTTATTTGTTCGCTTTTAGCCTCATTACTTGCGTTTCTTTCTTTTTTGCTTCTGGTAAACTTCTTATGTCAATTATTCTTGATTATATTTTTCGCTTATGTAAACTGATTATACTGAAAAAGGCAAGTTCACGCCGAAAAGAATATGTATAAAACTTTTACCCAGGGAAATAGGTGCTGTCTAGTAATCCATAACTAAGCTACTGGCAGAATTATTCTATTTTTTTCAGTTTATTGATATGAACTGAAGTGATGGCTGGTTCTATGAAAATATTGGACGTCCACCAGCTCGTGTGCTATCCGCGTTGAAAAATGTTCTGGTGTTTATTTCATCATTATACAAATGTTAATCTCATTTATTTGGTAGGGAGTGTGCTTCATGTTTTTATGTTTTATGATATCATGATGAGCTGACGAATCACTTCAAGTACATTGTGAAGATTCTTCAGATAATTCTAAGTGATCCACAATTATACCAAAAAAAGCTGTCAGTCTCCTGCGCTATTTCGGGGCTATTATCCATTTCCATGACGAATCTTCTACATTATAGCACGTCTATCAGTATTAGCCAATTTCCTAGCTGTGCACATTACTTGTATCTATATTTCAATCAAAATAATCACTACACACAATTGTGGTTATCGCAGCAGGCCTGAGTATGTATTTTACTAAGTAGATGATTCACACACACAGAATGAGCAATTCTATACTCACATTTGGGATTGCCTTGTTATCCGAAGTTTTGTTCGAGATGTCATTATCAAGCAGTGTTTGTCGAATATGCCCCTTATACTGTTTTTTTTTATTTGTTTTGTCATTGACGCGTTATAAAGGCTTTCTGTGCGAGTTTAAAATTATTAGTGTGTGTGTGGGGGGGAGTTCCTTACTGATTTGGTGTCAGCCACCAGTGTACTTTTAGACGTTAACGTTAATGTATATGCATGAACCATAGCCATCAAAGGTGGATGACGTGCGTACTCATAATGTGTTTTAAAAGCTTAATGTTCGTGATATTGCTCCTGCTTTTCGTACTTATTATAATCCTAATGCAATGATTAAGCACAGGGAGCTACTTAAGTTACATAAGTCGGTAGTCAGTCAGAACCATAGACTATCATTAAGGAAAGTGATTGGGACCCTTGATAAGCTGTACGTCTCAGAACGCCACTGTAATGGGAAAAGGATTAAGTTGAAAAAAGCTAATGATTTAGAGACCTTAACTTGGCATTAGTCTATCACATCATTGGCTGTTGGTTAAAGCAATATAGCTAGGTGTATATTACCTCTCTGGGGTCAATCGGATAACTCGAACCTTTGCTTGGCGAATTTAGGTTTCATCTCTGACTTTCTTTTAACATTAGATTTCTGTATTTTATTTGCCTTTTCTTTTTTCTTATAGCTGATCAGGAATTTTGATTAGTATGCATCCAAATTATCTTCGTCCAATTCGTAACACACATAGGGATATAAAGTGGTGCGTTGCACTGACTGACTGGTTTCAACGTAGAACTTTGCACTGATATGCATCAGTTCAAGTCGCCCAACAAGCTATACTGGCTGGAACTTATGTTCCTGCAGGTCCTACCATGCCAGAAAGGTTGTTTGGATAGCGGTTAGACTAAAAGCAGTTACCCAATCCAATCCTATGACTTCAAATAAATCACAAAATATCATGCCGGATCGGTCGGGGCCCGGATTAACAACGACCGCACTTTCTGCTGCCGTGTCACAGGGCAAAAGTGATAAATACGCTACTGAGACACACCAAATGAAAAACAACAAACAAAAACAGGCCGTGTGTGACAGGCCTCAAGCAGTTGTCCCCTGGGCTCTGCGGTCACGCAACCAACTTCCACGGTGTGGGCAGCCGGGAAGTAACAATCGCCCTCACAATCCGAAGTGCAGCAGCAGCAGTTCAAGTCGCCACACTCCATGTACCACACTAAGAAAGAGAAACAAGCAAAAAGAAATGCAAAATAGATACAGTAAACAGAGATATGAGACAAAAACAATAGTAATATGGAAGAACAATGTAGTTTCATTGGATATAAGTCACAAGGAGTGGATGCATCTGCGCCATCCATTGAGAACGATTTTGAGCCATATCACCAATTGTCTCTAGCCATTGGTTTTTACCGTCCCGAGGACCCCAACCAGGAAGTCTACACCTTCCTACGTGGCTTAAACTAACTGTCGTGGATTTCATTGACTGGTGCCCTGTTTTAGTTTGATCGCCGCTATTTCTTTTCCAGTCTGACCCTATGTGAGCTAACATTGCCCATTGTCGAGGAAGGCGATGACTACGTACGTACGTAGTCATACGTAAGACATGTCCTAACCATATCAGTCGTCAATTGACTTCCCACTCGACGCCCAACCTCAATATTGCTCACTCTGTTATACCATTTCACACGGGAGATAGAACGCAGGCACCTATGATCAAAGATAGCTAGCCAGGTGTTTCATGTCCTCCACTCTCTATGATCAGGTTTCACAGCCATAAAGGAGGACAGAGCGGACTGCTGAGCAGTACACCCGCCCTTTGGTTGATAGCCGCATATCACGTCTACGCTAGAGATGGTGTAAACTGGTATATGCGAATCGAGCCTTCTGTATCCGTTCTGAGATTTTGTCAGCAATCAGCTCGTTGGAGCTGATACAACTTCCTAAATAACTGAATTGGTCAACACGCACTACCACTTCACTCCCTATTTCTAAGCTAGGAGTCGATGTAGTCCAGTCCTGCAGCATCGTCTTACATTTGGCGGGAGCGAATTTCATGCCAATCATTCGTAGATTGCAACTCAAGGTGTTCAGTCTCTTCACCTAGTAGCAGGACTATATCATCTGCATATTCTAAGTCAACGAGATTATTCCTTGATGGTAACAAGTCAAGCTTCCTTTGATTTTTGATTTATGGGTTTTATGCTAATGTCTAACTGTGAATAGAATAACTCATAAAGTCGTAGAAGAGTCTTTGAATACTTATCTGTAGGTTTACCTTATGAGTTAATGCATATGGACACCTAATTAACTGACTTTGGTGTCTATAAATGCTTTTTGTGGAAACTAAAATTCTTTAAGTATTATTGACTATGTAGCAGATTGCTTTATATTCTCTTCACTATAGTAATTTTATTATGCTATATTACGCCTCTTTTAACCACACCCAGTGACTTTTGGGCAGTAAACCTTATGACTTCTATCCGTTTTGCACTCATGTAATCAGCTACTGAATTAATGCTCTTCCAAATTCGTCCCACATTTTTGAGTCAATGCTTACGCAGCTACAGCGCTACAAAATTGGCCACAAAGTATGATGCAGTAATTGTTGGAGGTGGAATGGTCGGATTTGGTCTCGCTGCTGTGGCGGGTAAATCTAAACGTTTTATAGTTTATCTTGCTTACCTTCTGCAGCAAATTCTAAACTACTAGGCAATAAAAGTATCCTGTTACTAGAGAGTTCTCCGAAGAATACTTATCAATATAAGGAGGAGTATGAAAACCGTGTTGTCGCCCTTAATGACCTCTCTGTTAACATGCTTAATAGTAAGTATACTAAACAAATTTTGGAGTTCACGTGATTCTTTTCTAGATATTGGAGCATGGGAATTTATTCGGTCGCATCGCGCACAACCTGTAAATAAAATGAAAGTAAGTTAGATTCTGAAAATTTTTAGTTTTCCTTTATTCTTGGGGACTTTTACGTTTTCTTTTTCGATAGATTGTACACAAATTGAATCTAGCACTATCCAGCAAGCAAGTGGATGCATATTCATAACTGACACATGAGTGTTTGTGAGCATTATAGTAACTTTTGTAAAGGAATGAAGCTTACATCGGTCGTGTATGAAATTTTGTCATTTACAAAACTGTAGATTTGAGTTGTATAGTCTGTAAAGCCGACTACAGAAGTAGGTCCGACAGTGTAGTAAACATCCAAGTCCATTAGACTCAGTAGATCTGCAAATTGGATTCTAATTCTTGGAGTTGCCGTTGATTGGTGTATAACTCCGTTTTGTGCAGATGGTGGTAAATCTAATGTTCTTGTAATTACTAATTAGTTTTACTAACTCTCACAATCCCTTACTTATTTTCAAGTGTTTGACAAGTTGCATTCGTTTATGTTTCATGGACAACTTTTTTCTCGCAATGGGACTATTAATAGATCAGTCCTTGCAATTATAGTTAACATAGATACATCAATATATCGAAATTGTTCAATACCTTTGTAGACACCACAGTTACCCTCACACGGTTGCATGCACTGGTACAAAATCTTGAAGTACAAAGTCCTTTAATCGAATCCAAAGCCCTAAGTCTCGATATTGAACTTAATTCCATAAACGTCTTTACACTGAGGTATAAAACTAAACCATAATACAATGAAATGTGGCTCATATCACGGGAAACATTAACAGTTGTCTTGGATCAATACTCAAGATCAGATGGCCGGCCAGAAAAGATCAGCAACAGGGTAAGATCTCTGGGAGCGAACCAACCAGGAACCGGTTGTGTAACAAATAGGCAGGAAGAAGTGGAGATGGATTGGCCATACTCCGAGGAAACCATCAAGTGACATCACTAGACAAGCCATTGCTCGAGTGGAACCCGAAAGGGAAGCGGCGAGTTGGTGGTCAGTGCAAGGGTGACTTGGAGGAGGTCATGTGAAGAGGAGATGAAAACGTGTGGACAGACTTGGAGCCAGGTGAAGACTCTGGCAGAGAACCGAACGCAATTGAGACGCACAGCTGAAGCCTTATGTTCCTCTAGGAATTAAAGGAAACAATAATAATAATAATCACGGGAAAAGTATGCGGCCGTATGCTTCTATCAGTCAATAATGTACCCTAATTATTAACGCCAAAAACCGTAATCTTATATTACATCCTGTCAAAAGTGGCTATTTAGAACAAATTGATTTAGAGTGGGGCATCGAACTCCATTCCATTCAGATTTCTGCTATCGATTTTAACTGCCTCCACAAATAATCTTTTGCTAGTCAGCACTCACTTTAGGCACAAAGACAGACATTGCCTAACCTGGCCACCTACGTCAATAAATCAACTTTGGACCAAAACAGACCACATAATGATAGAGTGTCGTTGGCGAAAGTTGAGGACTGCTGCTCCTTCTGGAACACGTTCTTATACTTCGATCACGCCCTGGATGATGTGAACACAGGTCCTCCTCCTTCTCCCCAAATGAGGTTACAAAGGCTGTCTCAAATCTGAAACGAGGTAAAGCAGTGGGACCTGATGGAATGACTCCAGAGGTGTTTAGGGACGGTGGAAACAGTTTACTGTCTGTGCTAATTAAGGCATTAGGCAGTGTTTGGGAGTCAGAGATAGTCGCGTCGGGCTGGTGTAAGCCATTGATTATCCCGATGTATAACAAGGGAGACAAGTCTTTCTTCTCCCTGTGATGATCACAGGGGGATTATCTTGACCAATATATGGTGTCTAAAGTCCCAGTCGCAATAATCATGCGTAGACTAAGTGGTGCTCGGGGGAACAAACAAGAGAACCAGGCGTCAGGCTGTAGACCACGAAGAGGGTGTATCGATCATATCTTCACCTTCGACAGATTCTCCAACTCAGGCATAACTACCGGCGTCCAACAATCGTCATATTTCTCAACGTGAAAGTGCCATTCGATTCCGTTGACCGAGAGGTAATATGACGATGTTTGACTGTGAAGGGAATACCGAGAAAGCACATCCCACTGATCAAGGCACTCACTCTACTTAGACTGATGCAGTCAGCCAGCTAAGAGCCTACGGAGAGTTGTCATCTGAAGTGGTGACAACCAATGGTGTCCGTCAGGGATGCCCACCACTATCCCTATTTCTCTTTAATTTCATCATAGATGTACTAATGGAATTAACCCTAACTGGCTTCAGCGACTCACGAATTGACTAGTTATCAGGAAATAATCTCGGTGACTTGGAATATATATATGTATATATTTATCATCCTAGGTGAAGTCACTCACAGAATGCAGAGTCTTCTGAACACCTTGAACGATAATCTTCGAATGATTGGGAGGCGATTCGTTCCCTCTGTCAAATGTAAGATGATGCTACAGGACTGGACTACATCGACTCCTAGCCTCAAAATAGGCAATAAAATGGTAGAGTGGTGACCACTTAACCTTTTCGGGGACTTGCAACAACCATCATCATCAGCGGGTTGACCGCTCACGAAATCTCAGCACGGATACAGAAGGCTCGTGTGTCATTTGCCAACTTACAGCATCTCTTCCTTAGTAGACGTGATATCCGGTTGGTTGTTGATCAAAGTACATGTGTACTGAAAATGGAAGACATGGGAAGACTAGCTGCATTTGATCGTAGGCGCCTGCATTCTACCTTCCGCGTTTTATGGTATAATAGGGTGTGCAATATTGAGGTTAGGCTTCCGTCGAATGCCAGGTTAGGAGTGGAAATCAATCGGCGAGGCTGTGAAGCTACATTGGCTGACATAGTGTGGACATGTTTTGCGCAGGCCTAGCCATCGGTCGCCTTCCTCGACGGGCGGTATTAGCTGACACAGGATGGATCAGGCTGGAAAAGAGCTAATGGTGATGAAACCAGAACATGGCTTCAACAGTCAATGAAATCCACAACAGTTAGTTTAAGCCACATAGGAAGGTGTAAAATTTCTGGTTTGGGTCCTCGATGTGGTGAAACCAAATGAAGACTGAACTGAATCGGTGATATGACTCGAAATCGTTGTCAATGACTGGCGCAAATGCATTCACCCTTTGTGGTTTATAATATCGAATAAAATTCTGTTGTTCTTCCATATTATTATTCTTTTTGTCTCACTCATCCTTCTGTTTATTATCTCTTTTTGGATCTTTCTTTACTCTCTTCTCATGCTTGGTGTGCTTCATGGAGTGTGGCAACACGAACAGCTGCACTTGCGTGCAAAGTGTTACCTTGGAACCAGTCAGTCAGATAGTATGAATTAATAATAATTATTCGCAGTTATTCTGATGAAATTCTTGAGTTTTGCAGAACCTTCTAGGTTAGACTTTAAGTTTATCCCGAAATAACCAGTGATGTTACAATGACATGTGTGCTGCGCAGCGTTTCTTTTAACTGCGAGAAAGTGGGAGACATAAAGAGACTGGCTAGCTGTCTTTGACCACAGGTGTGTTAATCGGTGTAATATGGTCAGTAATTATGAGGTTAGGCGTAGAGTGTTACGCGACGTGGGGTTGTCAGTTGATGAGGTTGTAAAGCTACATGTCTGGGACATGTGTTAGACATTCCATTACCACCATCGAGCAATCTTGGTTGACAAAGGACTAGGTTGTAAAAGAGTTACTTGGGGGTCAAGTCAAAACCTGCTATCAACCCATGAATTCTTTAACTGTTGGTTTGAACTATATACGGAGGTGCTGACTGCTTGGCTTGTAACTGAAGGTGATGAGGTTCGAAATCGTTCTCAGTGGCACGGATGCACTCACTGTTTGTAGTCTCCCGGATCCATTAAATGCTCATGGCTCTCCATGTACTTATTCTTTCTCGCGTCCGTTTTAGTTCCGTCGAATTTTGTTTGTACCTTTATGAGTTATATACGGAATGGCAGGTTGAACTCAGTTGAACTACATGTTGAAAACTCAGTCATAATGATGAATACTTCTAAGTGCATTCCCATATATCTAACTGGTTTCGTAACATATTGACAGCTATACTCATTTACTCCATAGACAACAATTTATTACTGATGCGTGTGCCCTCAAAACTATTTTGCTGATGTAAATCGGATGACAAAGTACTTAAGCGAAACTATGGAAGTGTCACTACTGAGTTTTAATAGCTAGGATACAGCATCCCATTGATACGCTTCTAATGCACTTATCGGTTTTAACCTCTAGATATTTACGTTTGATACACATTCGTATCATATTATGCCCTGGAGTGGATGGAATTCATGTTATTCAATTGGTCCCTCATCTTTGAACATTTGTGTACTTGTCAGTGTAAAAGTTTCGATCGGAGTATGGAGCAGGAAGATAGTGAAACGTTTTCTTTTCATTATTTCTGTACAATATATATATATATATATATAAATTCTTGTATTGATTAACCGGACCGTCACTATGATAAAAACTTGGCAAATATCGTTGTGTTACTTGGAGACTTTGATGCTCAAAGAAGAAACTGTTGATTAAAAGATAGTTTGTATGACCAGTGGGGAATAACTTTTTTCGCTTTCAATGGTAAAAACCATTCGCTATAGCTTAGTGTAAATCAAAACTTATGTAATAGGTCACTATTTTACAAAACAGCCATCAACTTTGCATTGCTTGTTACATAAATTTTGACTGGCATAAACCATACTTTAATATAAGGTTTACCGGTGATATAGGTTTGTGTTAGATTTCTGTTGTCTCTGGATTACTTGCTTCCCCTCTCATTTTGGTAGTCATCCAAACCATCGTTCTTAGCAGAGATACTAAAGCTAAATAGCACAGACTATTATTACTATGGGTTCGATTTAATACAAAAGTGTCAGTATTTCAGTAAAGGTGGGGGTACACATCGGCTATGCAAATAGGACCTGAATCTCTGTAAGTTAATCATGGTTTCCATTCTGGTGATGAATGACACTTACAATATTTTCCTCAATTAGTTTTATTGGGGAGATTATTTTTAGAGTTCACAACACGCAAACTAGAGTGAAGTGTCAGCTGAATCGGATCAGTAGCTGTCTCACCTCATATGTCCTATCGAGGGCTTGTTGTCCATGCGACAGTTTATTAGGTGGATGGGGGTCTAATCAAAAGTCAGTCTTCATAAACGCCAGAAGTATGAAATGAGACCTAGAAAATATTTTGCGTTTCCTACTGCACTAACAATTCAGTTTTTTGCACCTTACAATCAATCCAGAATGACCTTGAGGTAACAAAACACCATAATATTAGTTGACTTTTGAGTCTTTTTTTTCGAAGCGAAGACATGACTATGTTAGAAATAACAGGCTAGATTATTTGAAGGTGTATAGCAGACTACAAGTATCCTATCACTGCAAAAGTTAAGCTGATAAGTCCAGGATGATTATAATTTCAGCAACAGCTGAACTCGGTAGTCACGTTCTAGGTTGCCTGGCATGAAATTGGCTTCAACAACACAAGTACTTTGATGCATCACTTTTTCCTCTATGTCAATATGTTTTACTTGTCACCACTAACTTTCAGCTTTAACATACGTCGCCTGAAGTGAAAGTTATTTCTTTACCGCAGAAAATGTATACAGGTCACTAAAACCTCTTTGTAAGATTTAATAGCAGCTATCAGTGTGGAGTTGGTTATATTCCATTATGGATAAGATTTTATTTTGATAAATCACACAGTGTTACACAGTAATATTAACTGATGACGTTTTGAGCACAAATTATTCTCAATTTTTCTTCTTATGTTTGTGGCTGAATAGAGAAGTCAATACTGGACTACACATTAAATATATCCATTTTTTGACATATATATGGATATATATATATATATATATATATAATTCATTGAACTGACCTCTTCATTGTGTACACTCCATTTCAAAATGTAGGTATGGGAGACAAAGTCAAATTTTCACCTGACATTCTGTCGTGATCCTTTGGCATATATTGTAGAAAACAATCTGGTGATTGAATCGCTCCGCAAGTATTTGGAATCCGTACAGAACTCTACAAACCTGACTATACTGTATGAAGCACAAGCTAAAAATATTCAACTACCCCCAGCAAATCACCCAGAACAGTTGGTTCGACTGGATGTTGAACAGAAAAGTCAAGAGAAATGTGAAACAGTTGAGACAGATTTATTAGTATGTTAATATTTTAAAACTTTATTTGATGATGTGTTTTGTGGTTCAGATGCATTATTATTTTTTATATTTTTACCAGTTTGCATACCGCTCAAGTGTGTAGCAAATCCACTGTTGTACTAGATTTTAAATAAAGTTAGTCTGTCCAATTTGTGTAAAATAGTAGAAGACAGAAGATTTTTCAAATGTCAACTGTTTCTCACAAATTAAAATAACCTTAGTTTTTTTCTATTTTGCATTATTTATGTCCATTTGGCTAAACTGTATCTGTACAAATTCTTTCTGAAAGAGGGTTTTCAGATACCCATATAATATACTCACAGCAAGTGGCTAACACAACTGTTCTCGTTAGTTCACGGAAAATACCCATCCAGACATGAATATAAGAACAACAAAGCTCAGTGAAGAGTCTCTTTTCGGCGAATTTATTCACTTAGCTGTACAATCGCATCTATATATAATTATTTTGTGTGCGTGTCGGTACATTAGGATTGTCAAACAAAAATAAAATATTGCAAAAATATTCATTCAGACATCTATAAAACACAAAATAATCGAGCAAAGAATATTCTTTTCGATAAATTCCTCTTCCAGGCTCTACAATTATATATATGTTTATATACACAGAATATTTTAAATTAGTAGTTAATAACAATATCAGTGTTTTTTAAATAATATCGATTTGTAAAGTATGATCAATGCTATTGCAGTTCATTAAAGATGCTTAAATTATAATTATAATAATAGAGATATAACAGCGAATAGAATATCAACTAAAATTAGGGAAATTTCACAAAATTCTGGATTATTCAAACCTGGATGGCCAAGGTAATGATAATGACTGAACTAACTTCTTTTGGGTGCATAAATTAGGCTTATTAATATGAATCCCCACAGCCTCAGCAATATTTAGAAGTCGAACTCTTAAAGCGAAATTGAGATTCGTGGGTATGCGGTAAATGACCCTGAAAGCATGATTAACGTCAATCTTGTGTTCTGTCTCCACAAGATGAGACAGAATAGCGCTGCGAATAGATTTTGTTTGACCTTTGCTTAACCAGGCAGGGTGATGTTAGGGTTACTGTTTCCTTCATCAAAATATTTCTTAAATGTGATGAATAACCGGTGGTGGCACAGTGGTTAGGACTCTCGCCGACCATGCACATAGTCCGGGGTTCGATCCCCTGCCGGCGCACACCCGATATCTATGGTCGGCCTGCAAAATTTGGGCTACGATATCCATGCTGAAAATTCCATACTTGTACTGAAAATACGGTGTGGCATCAAGCTGTAATCAAAATAAAACAAAAAATTGTGACTAAGGTCGTGAAGATTGTTAAGTATTATCAAGGGTTGCGTTATATGAAATAGGATGTTAATGGAGATATGTGTTCACAAAATAAATTACGTAATAGTTAGAAAGAGTAAATAAAGGATTGGTTAAGAAGAAGATGTTACTGAGATGCCATAGAAAAATTCAAAAACACAAAAAAGAAAACAAAAAATTATTAATAAAGTCGTAAACTTGGAATTATACCCAAGTTAGAAGCAGGGGATAGAGAAATTTCTTCTTCTGTGTGCATAAATCAGGGTTCTCTATCCGGATGGCTAAGGCATCGGCAATGCAAAGTATACGGAAGCTTACCGTTTTCGGGAGGCTTCTTTTGACTTTGTAGATGACTTTGAATGAATTCTCTGTGCATATTGACTATATGTACACCCAATGTACACCCAACCAAAATAATTATATATATATATAAGTGCTATTGTACAGCTAAGTGAATGAATTCACCGAAAAGGGACTCTTCGCTGAACTTCCTTGTTCATCATATGTTTTCATTAGACCTAATTACAATAGTTATTTTGTCCCTCTACCTCCAATAGACTATATACTGTACACTGTATCAAGTTGGCATCTTTTTCAATCGTAAAATCGATTATTTAAAAGTGTAGGATAATAGTTGCATCCAAGTGTTAATTACAACCTGAGACATGCAATTATTCAGTGATTTTGCTTAGTTCTTCACTATATATTCCGGATTGGAAAAATGAATTAGGATAATGCTAGATAAAACGTTCTAATACACACATGATTCGACCAATGTGCTGATTATATTCCGTTTAAATTTTTCGTAAATCTATCGCTTGTTTATTTCGAGTAGTTTTGTACAATCATTTCCCAGCTTTAAGGTCATTCATTGACTGCGATATTTAAGCATTAGTTTAATAGTTAAAAGTAGGTTGTTATTGGTCTTAGAAACCTGTGTGTGTGTGGTACAATGAAATATTTATAGCTTATCCTGACGTACACTTGTTTCACTATTAAGTTATCGTGGTTAAACACACTTCAACTTATCTGTTCTGTTGTGCTATCTGAAATTATGTTACAGTCTTATTCGAACTATTTGAAAAGGTCATCATCATCAGCGTTGACCGCGAAGTAAATTGAAACTACTTCAACAATAGGGAGTGCCACAAATCTTTATCAGCCTTATGCAAAAGCTGTACGACAATGACAAGTGTCAGCGGAGCCATTGAAGTGCTGACAGAATGGAGTAAGACAAGACTGCCTAGTATTACCGATATTGATATTCTTGATTCTGGTGGACTGAGTTATGCGTCAGACTGTGGTGAGCGAGAAAACAGTAACACGCTAGACTGACAAGAAGACCCTAGAAGATCTGGATTTCGCAGATGATTTGTGTCTAATGTCACACAAACTAGAAGGCATGCAGGCAAAAAGCAACCACTTGGGGAGAAGAAATACAGGACTTCAGGTGAACACAGAGAATGATGGGGGATGATGAAGATAACCAACCAACCAACACCAACAAGCACCAATGGAAGGAATTTGAGAGGGGCCACTTTCTCCAACTAGCACACCGCACATGTGAGGATTTCAATTCCAGGTAGAATGGGAAAGGCGAGACAGACCTCCATCAGAAATCAGTTTGGAAATCTTCTGCACTCCACCAGAGCATAAAAAACAAAATTCAGCTTTTCAACGCCCGATGTTAAGTCGGTTATTTCTCCTATATGGATGAGAAACTTGGCTCTCTCGCGTCACGAAAACAGGTAGCTGCAGACCTTTATCAACAGCTGTTTTCGCTAGCTCCATACTGATTATCAGGTGGCCTGAAAGAACTAGCAACAAATCACTCTGTGAACGAACCGATCAAGAAGCTGTTGCTCGATTAATACTTTGAAGAAAACGTAGATGGATTGGACACACGTTTAGGAGGCCATCGGGTGACATAGTACGACAGGCCACTACTCGTGTGTAACCCGAATGGGGAATGAGTTGGGTGTGGGCCGAGTGTGACATGGAGGAGATGGTGTGTGTGTGTGGCGGGGGGAGATGAGAAACTATGGGCGATCGCGGGCCACCCAAAGAGTTCTGCAAAGAACATAAAGAACGAGATGGACATGTATTGTTGAAGCCCTATGTTTCACTCGGAATCCAAGGGAATAATAATTTGTTAAATCTGTCTTTATTTGTTGCTACCCTCAGGCTACGGGAGGGTATTTCGATAAGTCACCTGCCATGACTTGTAGACAATCTGAAGCCAAAGTAGAGGTCGCATCTACAAAGAGTATTGCTCATTTGCCAGGCAACGTTTTTCGGTCTATGCTCTTTAAATTACTTCTCTTATTTTCCTCTGCCTTACTTTGGTCCTACTTTTATGCAGCCTTCTTGCTATTAATTAAACTTTTTGTACTGTGTAGCTTTACTACTCATGAGTAGTGTGTATTAGTGAACTTCATTTCTTTAACTTTTCTACGGTGTACTTGTGTCAACTGTTTTTAACATTCCAAGAAAACGTTTCTGCTATCCTTATCTTAACTCTACAGATACACAGGATGGTTATTGTTTTTTATTTGCAAAAGTAGCCAACTTAGAGGAAAAATTCACACAGAACAACTCATGTAAGCGAATAATGTTGTTTTCGCTTAGATATCATCTGGCTTTACTCTGATATACCAGACAACTTTCCAAATAAACACTAAACGTAAGTTAATCATGACAGTTTGTCAGCAGGATGACAACAGAACTGTGCCACTAGTCATCATAAAAAAAATGATCAAGAATGATGCAATTTTCGATAATAAGGATGATGACAAATGGTGTGTTTTTTATACAAATAAACTGTCTTTATTTTGTATTGGACGTTTCTTGTATCCAGAACTATGTTTCATGTTGTTGACAGTTATTCTGAGTCAAATAACTGTCGGTGTGATCATAGTAGGTAGTAATTTTATCCTAAATAATTACCAATAATAATCACAAACTTCATCATTGTGTGTAAACAATCATTGGAAAAATACATAATGCTAATAAATTTAGTAATATTTTGTACAAAATCAATAAATCCATCATGTCGTCTTATTTTATTGTTTAATTTATAGATTGGAGCAGATGGATTCAATTCACTTGTTCGTAAAACAGCTAATATACATACAATAGGCTGGAATCACAGTCAGAAAGCCATAGTAGCAACGTTACGCTTAAAACAGGTGAGTGGGGTATATGCATGCTTAATTGTTACCTCTGCTGAAACCTTCGAATCACTGAGTCCGTCTGGTTCAAATACACCCAGACTTTGTGGATTACCGAAAGTGCACAAGGAAGACATACCTCTTTGACCCATTCTCGATATGACTAATTCACCTTATCGTCGCACTGCCCAAATGGCTAATGGACTTACTAGAACCAGTCAGAAGGCACTCACTCACTCCGAGATTCCTTCGTTTTTTTGTCAATTCCATTGAAAACGTCAATGTTTCCAATCAAACCATGTTCTAACTAGGTGTGGTATCTTTGTTTACAAACTTCCCACTAACTGAAACTATATGCTATATATGTGAAAATATTGATTCAAGGAAATTGAACATTGGTATACCCTATGAATATTTGAAGGAACTCCTATTGAGACGCCCTCTAAATGTGCAATTCTCTTTCAGTAACGAAATATATCAATATCTAGATGGCATAGCTATGGGCTCACCACTTGACCCGTTGCTTGCACACTTTTTCATGTCAAAACTAGAAAACACAAATCTAAAGAAAATGATCGACAGCTTTGGGTTTTACAAGAGAGACATGGATGACACTTTCCTTATCTCTAATAGTAAGGAGAATTTAGAGAACATCTTGGACTTTTTCAACAGTTGCCATCCAGCAATTAAACTCACACTAAAGAAGCGATCCAACACAAAAATATTCTTTCTGGACGTCCAATTAACAAGACGTGAACAAGGTGGAACACTAAAAAGATCCATCTACAGAAAGCCGATATGAAACTTGCTAACTTTCACAGTTGGGTGCCCCTATATACAAAACGAAACCTGATCCGTTCACTGAGCCACAGAATCCGCAGCATTTGCAACCCAGATACTATTGAAGAGGAGATAAACAATCTAAAGAGAATCCTGCTGGAAAATGACTACCCAGAACGTCTCATCACAAAATCTATGAAACCTAAACCACCGAAACCGCCCTCACTTTCTGCTCCCAAAAAGTATGTCTACTTGAATCTACAATTCAACAGGGACTCATCAGCAGAAATACTGAAAGATTGACTATCCCGCTCACTCCAGAACTTCGAATAACTTTCTCTACGAAAGTAATGGTTCTCATGAACGTGAAGGATAAGCTCCCACTGTTGGCCTCGTCAATGTGAACCTATTAATTCACCTGCTGGTGTGGAGCTAGGTATGTCGTCCGTACCGAGCGTTTGTTATCTAAACGTATCATGGAACACTTACCTTCATGGTTTTATAAAGGAGAAAAAAGGTCCCCCGCCATAGCTGTATTCTGGAACACCTGATGGAATCTGGACACGAAGCAAACACACAAATTGACTTCAAAGTTATCTACAGAATACGTTGGAATCTTGCTAACAGAGTACGAATCAAACTTCTTCAAACCACAGAAGCAATCGCAATTCACATATTAAAATCCTAATACTGTTAGACTCTATGAAATTTAATTTTGTCCATAAGGAAATTGTAGTCTACCACAGTGCACAAGTCCTGTTATTATATCTGTGGGATTGTATCAAAAGTGTCAGGAAATTAAAAAGGTGAAGTTGAGTGTTGATCAGATCAGCTTTGTGTACTCGCCGAAGTTTGCGTGTGGTTGTTAGTTCCGTGTAAGTTGATTTTCCTTGCGGTACCTCAAACAGAAAGTGCTGTAGTTCTGCGTGACTTCAGAGCCTAGGAGATGGCTGCTTGAGGCCAGTCACACACGGCCTATTTGAACTGGTTTTCGGAGTTGTGTCTGTATTGAGATCTTACCACCTGCTGCGGTCCGCTACAATGTATAAATTTCGGGGTCGAGCTTTTCTAACACCTCCTCCACAGAGTGTAGAGACATTATAACTGTCGTTTTGGTCTTCTTATGGGAACACTTTACTCCTTTTACGTCCTTATTTGTCAGCTGCACAACTTCGCCCTCAGACCTTTATAATAGTGCTAGAGATTTACACTAAGATGGTAACTGCTTTTGGCCCAACCGCTATCCGAACGACTTTTTTGGCATTCGTTCCAGCCGGTGTAACTCGTTGGGTCACTGCGATATGCAAGGCCGACAATTGCATCAGAATTACAGCTATTGGTCGGGAATCAAAATGTTCAAAACAGAAAATTAATATTCCTATCACAAAACTGAATAAGTCAAGACGTAACAGAGAAAATTAAGACGAGATAGCTTTAGTATCATTATGAAAAATATTGGCCAGTTACGTAACACACCATGAAAGTTATGATAAATGATTAATCAAATATAAACACATATATAGTCGGGTTAAAATCAACAATTCACAATCACAGTAATAATACACGTAATAATTGGATAAGAGAAATTACAGACATCGTGGTTGACTTCATTGAACGCTAACTAATTACCTTAATATTAACTATTCTTACTTTTATCTGCATTCCTTGGTTAGGGGTATTTATTAGTTACAAATCAATAATCAGGAAGAGGTCCTTTATATGCCAGGCCTTGAACCACATTTATTTTGTGAGGGCTGATGGTAATACCCAGGCTGAGAGGTGTACGTAGTGGGATACGAACCCGAGTCCATCGGCTGACACTTGAGTGCTTACTTCAGAGGGCCACACACATCTCGACTAATATTTATAGTTGTTTGATTGTTGGTGGTTTTCAGAGGGGCCCAGGACGCACGTTCCATCCTATTCAGGACTCATCATCTGAACGCATCTACATCCCAGTTAGCAATGCTGTTCTTAATGAGACTGAAACGCAACACCTATGGTTTCAAATGCAAAATAGATCAGCATTTAGCTAGTGAGCCACATTTTTAAAGTTTACGTTGCATAACGTCTAATTTATGCAGACGTATTTCATCATTCTTATTTTATCCTATGACTGTTTATATGAAATATTTTTAAGCATGTAGATTTTTCTGTCAATATTTTCAGTTAGTACTTTTTATTCTTTTAAGATATCACAGTCATAAATATTGACATATATAAATATATATATTAATTTCTTTAGATGGCATTTCTAGATATATGCTTTTATTAAAGAAGTCAATATTGGTTTTTAGTTTTTAGTTACATTGATCAATTAATATGGTTACCGGATTTGTCTATTGTCAGTTTTTGACTTTGTATGATATGCTATTTCTGTTTTATGAGTATTTAAAAATATTGGGAAACAGAATTCAACGTTAGGATAACCTACAGACCCCTTTTTTGAATCTACTGCTCTGTGTGTGTTAATTATTGATAGGTGATCCAGTAGCAGCAGTAGTAGTCTACCAACCAAAGCCGAGATTGTGTAAACAGTGTCTAATCTGTGCTAGCGGAAGGCAAGAGGACTCTGGAAGTGCAGCTTTACAGCTGTGAGACGGCTTTTGGACGTGGACGAGTCCAGCTGTCGCTGACTTGACATGTCTATCCATGTTTTATCCATCTTTTCCCAGGTGCTTCAGTATAGTCATTAGTAATGAGGTTGTGCTCTGTGTTATGTACAGAGGTTAAGTCAATCGATATGCATGCTGAGTCTATCGCCCTCCTCGATGACCAACTTTAGCTAAGATGTAGGATTAGATTAGATCGGAAAGAGTTATAGGTGATCGAACCGAAACAATGAAGTGGTTGACTGTTTCTTTGTGCCATATAAGTTGGTATAGACTGTGTTTAGGCCTGGGTCCTTGGGATGCTAAGGATCAGTGTTTGGAGACTTTTGAGAGTAAAGCTCGATATCTCGCACAATATCGCAGATGTACTCATGCCTTGTTGTCATCCAGGTTCGAAATCCTACGTTGATAATACAATTGTATCATAATATTTGCAACGCCTGAGGTACTATGCGCATAACTAGCAATAACAGCTTGCATTTACACAGTTGTAAATGTCTGAATTATGCTGACACACTCTTCATTCCTTGAGAATCATTTGACACACGTGCTTCAGTTGTTTGAATTCACCAGCAGTCTCCCATCAACTTAACTATTCACATTTCATGAAGTTGTTCTTTGTGAGGGAAAAAAAATCGATATAAAAGTGTGACACACCCATCCATCTTCAACTATATCAAGGATTTTATCAATTATTATTATTATTACTTTGTTTTCTTTAATGTTACCTGGTCGATGTGTAATAAACGTTAGTTTATCATGTGCACATTTACCTGCATTTTCGTTAATTAGCTGCATTCTCTATATTGATTCCTACTTTTAAGCACTACACATTTATAATTGAAAAGCAGACTGTTAACTATTATGCAAATGTATGTAGATTTAAATTCATTCTCATTAAGTATTAAATGCTTTTTAAATATATTGTGCATTTTTAAAAATGCGTTCTTTCTTTTCTTTTTTTTCTTCAAATATATGCTTTTGTCTTTATTTGTATTGTTCAGGCTAATGAAGAATCTGTTGCATGGCAGAGGTTTTTACCGACGGGTCCAATCGCTTTGCTCCCAGTAAGCATTCTTTTTTCAAACACATTATAAATATATAAGAAATATGCTAGAGAAAATGGAGATGGATCGGAGACACGCTGAAGAGACCATCGAATGACATCACCCGTCAGGTCATCATTTGAGTGAAACCCTAATGGAAAATGACGAGTGGAGTTGGGGTCCGGAAGTGATATGGACTAGATCGTGTGGGGAGAAGATAAGAGACTACGGGCAATAATGCAGCCAGCTGAAGAGACTTGCTGTTTAAGCCCCATGTTCCACTCGGAATCCAAAGGAACAGTAGTATTATTGATTGGAAGATTTCATCAAGAGCTGACATCAGTTAGAGAACCATTGGAAAACCAGTTGGGAGTGCTAGACAGTTGTTTCGACCCAGTTTGGAACTCTTCATTAGTACGTACCCACCGAGGTTCGAACCCATGACCTTCTGGTTACAAGGCGAGCTCGTAAATCATTAAGCCACTGGGACCCGATCCAGTGGTCCAGTGGCTTTAATGGTCTATGAACTTGCCTTGTAACCAGAAGGTCCTGGGTTCGAACCTCGGTGGGTACGTACTACTGAAGAGTTCCAAATTGGGTCGAAACAACTATCTAGCACTCCCAACTGGTTTTCCAATGGTTCTCTAACTGATGTCAGCTCTTGATGAAAACTTCCAATCAATCAAACAAAATCCCCTACAAAACCAATACTTGAAAAAGAACAATAGTAATGGAAAATAATTATATATATAATTTATTATCTTATTCATTCACCTTCCCAGTGGAATACGGGGCTTCAAGTTTCGGCTTTGGAGTTTCAGTAACAGTGGTGTTTATTTTTTTATGGGGTAGCCCCATGCCAAGCCCTCCTTCTTTACCGGGCTTACTGCTGGCTAAGAGAGGTGCGTCGGCTGGGTTCTGAGCCTTACACCACGTGAATTGACTGGCGAGTTTTCTACCACGGAACCACCGACGCAAATACAATAATAAAAAATATTAAGATATGCTGAATAAGCTTAGAAAGTTAGGAAATAGTATAAGAATCGGCGGGAAGCCATGGACGTAGGTTTCGTGCTAGGTGCACCGTAATGTCGAGTCACCTGGCATCATGGCCATATTGCGAATTTAACTGATAGAATTCAGTCAGCACCAAACTAAGTATTAGACACATTACACTAGTTGCTAACTAGTTTCCAATCAAAGATACAGGCTACTTTTATATCAGGTTGGGCTGAGAACCGAACCTATAGTCTGTGCGCGTTTATCACACTGCCTTGTTGGTATAAGTTCCCATTTATTTTGTCCCATGGTCCGTCACTGTTGATTACAGTTCAGGGGCAGATGTCGACAAGGTGCATTTCTATCTTTCTCTGTTTTTTTTGTGAGATGTTTCAGTTGCTTATATTATTTTGACTATTTAACTATACTGTATTATGTCTTATTTATGTGCCAGATTTTATACACTAATAAATATACCACCATTTCTTATTCCAGTAGTATTTATGTATCAATTCACCTTCGTTGAAGGCGCGACTACACGCAGCGTTGATCAGTTTCTAATATGTAAACCGTCACATTACTTTTTTCGTTGTCGTATAAATTGATTATTATTATTATTATTATTAAGTAGTAGTAGTAGTAGCAGTGGCAGTATTATTTTTATATGGTGAAACAGAGTAGCTTGTGTTGTCTTGTTGTTGTTTTTTTGGATTTTGGCAACTGTTCCTTCTTAGTTGTGTATAGTTTGTTTCACACTAACTCTGACTTACTGTGTTCGATTTTTTTGTATTTGTGTGTGTTGGGGGGCGGGAATTTTTGTTTCTAATTCAATGTTTCGTTTTTTATCGTTTTTTTCGAAAGAAAAGTATGATTAAATATCACACATTGACAGGACACACTCCAAAATACGTTTTTCTTTGTTAATGAAAGCCAATGAAGAAAAAATAAAAAAAATACGCCTTAACTCTTTGTGCTCTTTACAGAGTATATAGATTATTATGTTGAATCATTTCAACTAAACTAAGAATGGTAGTCATGTTTTTAGCTTAGTAATACTCGAGCTGCTAATGTTCGCATTACAATGTCTTTCTGCTTCCAAAAACTCTACTTGAATCTACAATCCAACGGAGACTCATCAGCAGAAATACTGAAAGATTGCCTATCCCGCTCACTCCAGAACTTCGAATAACTTTCTCTACGAAAGTAATGGTTCTCATGAACGTGAAGGATAAGCTCCCACTGTTGGCCTCATGAATGTGCATCTATTAATTCACGTGCTTGTGTGGAGCTAGGTATGTCGTCCGTACCGACCGTTTGTTATCTAAACGTATCATCGAACACTTACCTTCATGGTTTTTATAAAGGAGAAAAAAAGTCCCCCACCACAGCTGTATTCTGGAACACCTGATGGAATCTGGACACCAAGCAAATACACAAATTGACTTCAAAGTTATCTACAGAATACGTTGGAATCTTGCTAAGAGCAAGCAGAAGCAATGGTGGTTCACAGGTTAAATCCTGATCTCTGCATACAGATGAAGTTTTGTTCATTCATTAAATCTTCACTGTAGAATGAAGCTGATCTATCCTAACACCAAATATGTGATTTTTGTTCTTTGTTTCTTAGTTGCATTATTTTCTCCCCCTCGCCCAACCCCTATTAAATCTCTTCCATTTTATTACCTCTGTTGTTAACTTTACTCTGGTCCAAATTTTCTTTGAATTCTGCTCTACTCCGTCGATTATATTATGTCACTAAACTTACTTATTTAATTTAATCTTAGTTTCTACCCGATTGACGCTTTCTAGATTACACAATTTGTTGTCTAAAAGACTTACAATTCTATTGATTCATCTTTGGAATTATTCCTTTTGTTGCTAGGATAATTTACTATATATATATATATATATATATATATATATATATATATATATATATATGCGATTGTACAGCTTGAGAATGATATAGCCGAAGAGAGTAACTCTTCGTCGAATGCCATTTCTTTTATAGGACACAGTGGGGATTTTGAAGTTGTCTATTATTATTATTGTTATTATTATTAATGATATTATTATTGTGTATCCCTTTGCGTCCAGAATGGAACATATTACTCCAAGCTTTGGTCTCTGAAGTTTCATTAGCAGTTGAAGGGGTGTGATTGCTAGCCTCATGTCCAACCTTCCCTCTTTACCTGGCTTACTATCAGCTAATCAAGGTTTTAGGTGTGAACCCACCGAAGATAGCACCCTGGACCAGGTGTCACGTGGTTAGGTAGCATTCTACCTTTGAACCACCGACGCACCCAATATCTTGTTAAATTGCATATATTACCACTTATTTTTGTATTTACATACTGTTGTAAATACTTCCACACTTGTTGAAATATAAGTAGTAATCAACATTTATTGTGGGGACACTATGTAGGAATTGACATTTCAAGGGAGATTCCAGGCTGTTCAACGGAAAATTACTTGTTTTTTTTACATTTCATAATGAATGCTTGTTGACTTGATCAATATATTAGTTTATAAAGAATTGCAAAGAAGTAACGATTATCCATGAAAATGCAACAGAAAGTACATTTTTTTATCCGCGTTTTTAAGGTAAATTTCATTGTAGATTCCGTTGGTACATGTACTAGTTCGAGAATCATTGAAAACAAAAGAGCACTGGACAGCTATGGCATTGTGGTGGTTGGTTGGTTAGGTAGCACTGTGTCGCGAATCTACAGAAGTTGGATTTCACGAGCCATTGAATTCCAACACAGTGGCTGTTCGGTCAATAGGTTAGCCTTGTAACCCGTGGGTCCTGAGTACGATCCCTGCTGGGATTAGAAATGCGCTTAACTGACAAGTCCCATACCGAGGACAATTAGCTATTCAGTGGTCTTTGGTTTTCAATAATTCTCTAAATGATGTTCGTTCTTGACAAGATCTGAAATGAAATCGGTTAGAGCTCCTGCAAAACTCCATATCTGACTTTACAGGACACGCTAGGGGAACCTTCAACTGATTACCTCACTAATTTCGTATGTAAGTCGAAGAAGATACTTTGTAACCTCTTGTGTGTAAGCAAAAGGATTTGGCTTCACAATAAAAGTAAAAAGCAAATTCTAAATCAACTGTAAAGTTTGCACATGACATCATCTCCAACCGTTACATTACTCTAGGCAAGTGGTGAATAATTCAACCAGCTTAATGGTGGAACTTTCGCTGTAAATTATCGTTTAAAGAATTTCTATCTCCTTCTACCTGAGGCATTTGTTTTCACATCTTCTTTGTTCATTTCTCACGGGAATTCTTTGCTTTTTGTGTAAATAAACATAAAATACCATTTATGGCTAATTCAGAGTATTACCTGAATGAATAGAAATAATAGATTTCAGGAATAATATGTAATGCCTTAATGTTACTAGTTTTTGTTTGAAGAAGTTAGTGATACGAAGAACTAGTTGTATGTCAGAAGATATGCGAAGATAAAGCACGATGCGTTAATAGCTTGTTTTCCCCAATACCCATTGATGTTTTACGTGAGTTCTATGCAATGCGTCTTGTTGACTAATTGTGCATTGTATCATCATAGCCTTACTTTTCAACCTTGAAATTTATCACATCTCTCTGATATAGTCTTTTGTTGATAACTAGCTGTGGTTGAACTCTGTTATTCATCATATAAGTAGGTGAATAACGGATCGTTTGTGTTAAATTTTTATCTTCATATTTTATGTTAAGAGTGGGACATAGGATTCCACACTTTTAAGTTTAAAGGGTGGAGTCGCTAGCCTCCCTTTCTTTCGGAGGGGGGTGGGAGACGTCCACTATCAAACTAAGCAAGGCCTTGAGAACGCGTTGGGTAGGATGAAATGGAATGCGTACCTCCTGCATGATTGGTAAGCATTCTACCTTTGAACTCCTGAAACACTGAATAATTTATCGTAGTGTGGTGTTTTTTTTTGAAATATATTAGATGGGTCAAATTTCGATTTGATCATTTGGATTTAAGTTCTGAACGTGTTAGTTTTCTTAGTTTCTCTCTGAGTGAATTTCGATTCCAGAATGATGCATACTCTTTTTCGAGGTAATTAATTGGCTTCCGTGCGTCAGTGGCACAGCGGTAAAATGCTCCCCAACCATGCATTTTGTCCGGAGTTCGATCCCCGGCCGGCGCACTTCTTAACTTCGCTAGGCCAGTAATAAGACTGGTAAAGAGGGAAGGTTGGGCATGAGGCTAGCAACTCCATCCCGCAAAAATAAACACCATTGCTTCCGAAACTTCAAGTCTCTAGCTTGAAGCCCTATGTTCCACTGAGAACATAAAGGAAATTTTAAAAAATTGGCTTCCATTGAACCTTTTTTCTCAGTTCATTTTATACAATTAGTATAAGGAGTAGTAGTAGTGTAACAACAGAAGACAAGGGCCAGGCAACAGATCGTTTACTAAGGAAATCAACACATATTTATAGATTTCAATGTACATTATTGTAGATTATTGTTAGTAGAAAATACAGTCTTTTGATTGTTTGTCTCTCACAGAAAGTTAACCTTGCATCTCTTTGTGGCTGTGTCAGATCATCCATATGCTAACTGTATCCGCCTACACAAAGCCTTTGTTCTCATTTTCTCACCACCAATATTGGGGACATAAACATTGACGTCAATTACTGTATACCAACTTTGGCTAGCAGCCAGCTCTCACCACAGTAGTAGTAGTGATGGTTAACTCATGCTAGCTGTTCTGTTTTATTTTAAAAATGAGAAAGACTTACGTTAGTGAGTAAAATGTTGTGTAATAATGTTTATCGGTTTTTGTCTTAACCTATTTTTTGTTGTTATGCTTTTAAGTGTGCCACTAACCACCTGTAATTCATTGCAATGGGTCTAGCTGCTAATTCATAAGGAACAGAACAGAACAGAATAAATAAATAAATTCTATGCTTGTTAAATAAGAGTTAAGAATTATTGAACACAGACGTACTCCAACCTTAACTAAACACACTCTGTTCTATTTTATTATCAGAAGTTTGAAAGCAAATGGAGTTGTAAAACACTTTAGACGTTACGAATTTAAACTGATTAAATTAAGGTCACCAGAAAACAGACAGTAAGGTCAAGAGTATAATTCAAGATACATTCACATAACAGGTATGAATCGATAGCGTTGAAATAAGTGTTATTGATTTTAGTAAACAAAATATCACCGTGGTTAAGAAATACTGGTAACAGCTCCTTTCGAAAATTAATCGTTGGGTAACTACCGCTTCACCTATATTAACTTAATTGATTTTGTTATATCGATTTTATGACGAATATCTATCAGATCATCGGAGACGGCAAACTTTTAAACTTGTATACGTTTCATATGTAAAAATAATATAATTGTGAAAGGACTAGACACATCACACTAGTTACTAGTATCCAATCAAATATCCAATACAGTCCTACAGGAGGTCAATCGCGAGACCGAATAGCTCAGTGGTAACGTCTCTGACTGCAGCACTGAATGACGTGGGTTCGAATCTCAGAAGGGTCATGAGTCCCTTCAGACACGCCTTGCTGACGAGTGCCAGCTAGCACAAAACCTAGGTCCAAGGCTTCCTACCGATTGCCTCCAACCATCTAATATCATCAAATCAATGTGCACTGTGATAGCGAGCTACCTAGAATGGTGGCCACATTGCAAACCTGACTGATAGAATTAAGTCTGCACCAAAGTAAACACTAAACACATCACACTAGTTACTTGTGTCCAATCGAAATAATTACGAAATCCAAGCAAAATTGAAATAAATAATTCCAACGTTTCGATCGCCAAACCGGTCCGAACTTCTTCAGGGAAATCCATCAAAAAATTAAAATAACAGGTATATATATATGTTTATAAAAGGACATATCTTTTCTTTAAATTCCTTATCCAATCATGTGAGGCATGAATAGACATCAAAAACAAATAAACCGATTGCATGAACTGTGATCAAGATTTGACCACAGACTTACTATTATTATTAGTCGACTTTATTGTTAAAGCGTGTACTTTTGCATCAGACTTTACTGCCGAAAAAAAACGTTGGGATTATTTATATTTCAATTTCGCTGGGATTTTACAAATATTATTTTTTTAAATGTATATTTACTTCTTACTCGGCGCCCAATTATTGTGGAACTATGCGGTTAAATCTTCACACAAAGTTCCTATAAATTGTACACACTTCAGTTGTAATTTCCTTTAAATAAGTGTAGACGAAGTCTACAGATCCTTTTTTTCCCGCCTGTACACACGTGAATTGGTATATACTTTCCGAGGCAGCATGAAAAGTAAAATTAATCAGCCTTAGACTGCCAAAGAGAGCTATCCATTCACTTGGCGTATTCAAAGTCCTTTCGTACGATATTGAGGGACTCTGTGTGTAGCACTGTGAAGTATTTTTATGCGGGGCTGCTCAGTGTTCCAAGTTGACAAAGTGTTTGAGGATGGAGCTGTTAGTATTAGAGAACTAAAGGACTTCGAATACTCCATCTGTACATAGCTGAATGATTGGCTATTCGGGATCTGAAAGCGGATCTCTGCATTCAAAAAGCAACTAGCCTAGTATATATGGATTTTCTCAGTCACCCTGTCACACTTGAATTCAAAGTTTGAGAAGATGAAAAGGTTTCTATAAGCAAAAGTGTTTATCGGCCACTATTCTTTTTTTTGTCAGTCTTGGATTGATGATTTACCGTATTTTTTTTTCTGTAGCTACAAAATCAACAGGTTCTCTCTCAGTCAGAAAGGACTGTAAAGTAAAATAGCGTTCCCCAATAAAATCGAATAGTTTATATATATATATATATATATATATATACTCGAAAGATAGAATACCTCATCCTTTTTATCTTTCATTATTAAAACTGAAATCGGTGTACCCTTGCTGTCTAAATGTATGGAACCATTTCCATTCAAAGCTCAATAATTTGCTAAGTTTGTGTTATAAATTTGACGTTTGCTAGAGTCTTTTAAGGGTTTCATGTGAGCCATCACTGTACATCGATATCACCTATCAACACTAAGCTTTTTAACCATTCTTTGCCTTCCTAGTGGAATATAGGGCTTCAATGCCTTTAAAGTTTTAGTAGTGGCGTTATTTTTTATGCAGTAGGATTCCTAACCTTCCCTCTTTTCCGCTCTTACTGTTGGTTAACGAACAAGACAAGGCTAAGGAGTGCGTCGGTTGGCAATCAAACCCAAGACTCCGGCGTGACTGGCGAGCATTTGGTCATTGTGGTGAACCACCGATGCATCAAACTTTTACTTCCTCCCAATTCAAAAATTTCTGTTCGTACTCCGCTTAATGCTAGCACCGGAATCATTAAATCTTTCACGAATGAAATCACCGTTTAAATTGTGGATATTAAATATATTGTGATTAAGTTTGCTAGTGGATATTCTTAAGTCCCAGTTGAAACTTCAAACTATGGACAATATCACAAAATGAGGGGAGTTTAATCATCCAATTTATAATCTATCTCTCCTTATGCTTCTCACTAGGAGTTCTGCTTTATTTGAACAACTCTATTTTGTTTCTTTCACCGCTTCATTGATTGATTTGAATCGGTGATAAAAGATTACCTCGAGTTAGATCACAAACTGACATTAGTCAGGAACACTGAAAGCCGGGAAGTATTCGGCGGCTATTTCTCTCTTGTTCAAGATTCTCTGATAATACGCACCCATGACCTCACCCAAAGGTCCTCGATTAGATCCCCAGTGGAACGAACTCACTGGTACCTGGCTGTGTTTCTTCAACTGGTGCCATTCCGTGATCTAACGTAAAATCATTCTAATCTCTACAAAACAACACTTAAGAAGAAATTATTATTGTACGGCTTAGAATTTTTGACTAAGTGTTTTTTTTCTGAATAATCATATAATAAAGATAAGGGTAGAAGTTTGTATTTAAAATAGGTTAAGGTCAAATTCAGAAACATATCCGAAATGTGTTTCTTCTTTTATAATTTATCTTGTTTCTTCTGAATACGATTTTTAGATGATACTTTAATTTCAATTTAGATTTCGTCACGAACCGACATCATTCAGGGGATGATGAAAGACAGAAGAACATTTTTCGTCCTATCAAGGTGTACACCCACCCTTCAAAAGTAGGCGGTTCCCCTGACGGCACCATCAGAGATTGAACCTAATAGCATCATGCATACTACAAGTAGAACTTATCCAGTGTTATGCTTCTCTTTTTTGATGTATTGTTCACAGAAAAACTAATCACAATTCCTAGAAAATTGTCTCTAATTATATGCTCTTCAAATTGTGCATATTTTTCCTCTTTTGTGTTATTTCCTATGAAGTTGTCAAAAGAATATTCATCATTGGTATGGAGTACAACTATTTCTGAAGGTGATCGTCTTATGGCTTTGAATGATACAGATTTTATACAAGAGTTAAATGATTGCTTGGTAAGTTTGATTATAGAAAAATATTTCATTTATTATTATTATTACTATTATTGCTATATGTTTATTGTTATACACTTTAAATGAATTAGTTAGTTTCTTCAGAAAAAATTGCCAAAGGCCTCTAGATACCGAACACTCTAAAAAGCAGAGGCCATTGTAATTCACCTTAAACAACCGGAGCTGTGTGCGCGCGAAAGAAACAGGTCCAGCCACTATTACCACCCTGACCTGCTGTCAAGCCTATAAATTCTGTGTTATATTAATTAATGCATAGTATCTTTTACTGATGTAATGTAGTGAAATGTAATCTATCGATAATACTGATTCAATGTTATTTAAAACACCATCAATGTTAATCATAACGTTAATTTTTTAATTATTATGTTCATGTAAATGTAAAACTTGATGACGCATTTATCGAAAAGAATCTTCTTTGTTCACTAGTCGGCCTTTTTGGAATTAGAATTCTTTATTTTAGAGTATGAGAGAGAACTAGTGTCTTATTTCGGTCGATATACCAATTTAACACTATCAACATACTCTCCCATAGATACTGTATTAACTATATATATATATATATATATATATATATATATGCAGTTTTATATTCCCTAGCCAATCATTGAGCGTGTGAATATTTGGCTTACATTAAACGACACGAAATAGAATGTTCAGATATACATAGTATTTTCTGTAGTTTGGTTTGTAAGGATTAGTTTTGTTTTTACCAGTTGATCACTTATTGATATCAGTTAGAGAAACATTGAAAACCAGGGAGTACTGGACAGCTGATTCATCCTAGTTTGGGAATCATCGGCAGTACGCACTCACCGACGACATTGGTTAGGGTCGCGCTAAATCACGAACTGGTAGAAGTTAGAATTCATGAGCCATTGAATAGGTCCCAGTGGCGGAATGGTGTACGGACTGGCCTTGTAACCGGAAGGTCCTGGGTTCGAACCCTGGCAGTGGGTGCTTACTGGCGATGATTCCCAAACTAGGATGAAACAGCAGCTGTCCAGTACTCCGAGGTTTTCAATGATTCTCTAACTGATATTAATCCGTGATCAACTCGTGAAAACATAGTATTCTGTTGCTAATGCAGTATTGAACAGTGAGAATATGTGATAATAATATTCCATTGGAACACATTGTCTATATCACACTACCACTCTGCTTATTACTTCTACTGCGCCACCTACATGAACAGTTACAACAATAGATAAATATGCTACAAATAGTTTCTCTTATACAATTTTCCAAATTATGTGTTTATTTTATAAATATCCAACCTATAAGAAGCTATAGACAAAGAAAAACTATCGCTGATTTTCATGCCTTATCTCTTTTCTAAAAACTAAAATTAATAATATACTTGTAAAATTGTTTTTGCATAAATTTATTTCTGTCTAAAAATGATTTCAAGTCTATTTTTTATAAGTTGAAATTAGCTGACTTGTGTTATTTCAAATTATAAACACATATGCACATACTTGTACACGCCTGTTTCCCCTTTTTGATCTAGACTAAACCAAGTGAAGAAACCTCACAACTGGCAACTGTTTTCAGTAAAATAGGACAGTGTTTCGCCGGGGTGATTGATTATTTCGGCAGTGTGGAGAAAGGTGTTCAGAAGGCATCCGATCAGAATAGTCTTCTTTCAGTTCCACAAGTGGAATCACTTCAGTTGAATACGAAACGAGCTTGTTATCCTTTAGGCTTTCAACATGCTACATTTTATTCTGCTCCTCGTTTAGCACTTGTTGGGTATGTTTTAATATTATCCTTCTGCATTTTTTTGTTTGTTTTTGTGTGTATAAGGTGAGATAACGGTAGGACTTGTTTTGTTGTTTTTGTTGTTGGTTTATACCATGCCTTTAGCTCTTAACGACAATTTGTCATCTTCCATATATTGCTGGACTATTGATTACGAGGAGACAGATAACAATATTGATGTGATTTCTGTTTTCGTCTTGAATATTGTCTACACATTTTTCTGCCTGAATCTACAAGATAATGACTGTTTACAATCTAACTTCAGCTTCATCAATTATGATGACCGAGTTTGACATCCTTTACAACGTGAAAGCAGAGAATGGAATTCTGTTGGTCGTCTTACTTTGTAGTTTAAAAAAAACACGAAGAACAGTGTTTTTCAGCATAAAGATGAAATGTTTCTTTAAAAAAAACCTTCGTAGACATATTTCATCAGACAACGTGTAACATTTAATGCATATTGTGATTGTACTTTGTTTTTTCATTTAGTAGGTAGAAAGCGGTACAACAATAATATGTATTCACTAATGTTGGATGAAAACATGACTTTTGGTTTAAGCCACTTAAAGAGATGTAGACTCTTTGATTCATGTCGTTGTAATATTCTAAGAGCTAATGTTTGGAGACTGTTTGATGACATTGTTTTCACCCTATCCCATCATCCAGTCTCTTGAAGATACATACGCATTAATCCACATCTAATTATCCCTTCTCTCCTAATTCTTCGTCCATCATTGGTACCTTTCATCTGGTAAATGGTCTACGCTCTGCACTTCTAGATAATGAGTCACGGGTTCGGCCCCTCGCCTAACCTACTGGGGTTTGGGCAGCCAGGTAGTATTATTAACCGATACACAATAGGTGCTGACTCCCTGCTGACTTCGCGGAAATGCATTTGGTAATTGTACATTAGTCTTAAAAGCTCTCCAAATAAAATTGTAAAATAAAATAAAAACCAGTAGTCTTCATGATTTCTCTGGAAGTACCTTATTTGTAAGCAGTAATTTCCTAACATCTTCGAGTTCTTTCTGTTAACTAAATGTTTATTATAATAATGCAACGGAACCATAATCCTTTATAATCTTGATTCTCAATCTCTTATATTGCTCTAACCCCTGTATCTGACTATCTATCTGTTTTCACTTGATCTGTAAAACATTTTGTCACCGTTCATATTCTATGATCGATTCATTTTAGCTTAATTATTAGTCACTTACCTGCTTCTGTTCTTCTCAAAGTATGCATAACACTGTATGTTTTTTCTTGTTTGGTGTGTCTCAGTAGCATATTTATCACTTCTGCAATGTGACACGGCAGCAGAAAGCGCGGTCGTTGTTAATCTGGGCCCCGACCGATCCGGCATGATATTTTGTGGATTTGTTTGAATCATAGTGTTGGATTGGGTAGCTGCTTTTTGTCTAACCGCTATACAAACAACCTTTCTGGCATGATAGGACCTACAGGAACATAAGTTCCAGCCAGTGTAGCTCGTTGGGTCATTGCGATATGCAAGCCCGACCACCACGTCAAGGTAGCAGGCCATTGAGAGCGGAAGACATGAAAAGATTAGCTGTCTTCGATCATAGGTGTCTGCGTTCTATCTCCCGCGTGAAGTGGTATAATAAGGTGAGCAATATTAAGGTTAGGCGTCGAGTGCTAGGTAAGGTGGGGAAATCAATAGACAAGACTGTGAAATTACATCGACTGAGATGGTTAGGACATGTGTTACGTATGCCTAGTCATCGCCTTCCTCGACGGGCAATGTTAGCTGATATAGGGCCAGACTGGAAAAGAGCTAGCGGCGGTCAAACGAAAACATGTCACCAGTCAAAAATCCACAACAGTTAGTCTAAGCCACGTAGGAAGGTGTAGACTTCCTGACTGGTTGGGGTCCTCGGGACGGTAAAAACCAATGGTTGGAAACAATTGGTGACATGGTTCAAAATCGTTCTCAATGACTGGCGCAGATGCATCCACTCCTTGTGACTTATGATTTCCAATGAAACTGTTTTGTTCTTCGTTATTACTATTCCTTTGTCTCACACCTCTGTTTACTGTCTCTATTATGCATTTCTTTCTCTTGCTTTGTGTGCTACATGGAGTTTGGCGACTTGAACTGCCGCACATATGTGCAAAGTTCTATGTCGAAAACCGACCGACCAATAACACTGTATGCAAGGTATGCAACTGAAGAGCTCTATCGAAACTTGCTGAATTCATTAAATCCTGCTGTACTAGCCTTTATTGTTTCTTTTAAATTCATAGAGGGCAGTAAATGTTTCCGCGTTCTCAATGCCAAATTGAGTACACATTCTTCTTTAATTGCATAGTTTGCATTTATAAATCACTTTCTTACAAGCGAAAGAAGTTTCACAGGCTTATAGTTCTCATTTCAGACAATATAAAAGCTTTTGAAAATAGAATATATGTTCAAGTGAATAAAGACAGCAATAACTTATATCTACTTGGAAATGGACAAATTAGCAATTAAAATATCGTACCCTAAACAAAAATACTGTTAAATATATGTTTATGTTTAATTAAGAACAAAGACAGCATGAACACCTGTGTTCTAGAAACAAAGATCTATTGTTTCGGTTCGACTAATCAAACAACTTAGAATTCAAAAGTTTCAATATCATTGGAATTTATGCTCCCATTGTTTGTGAGTGACTTTTCTCATTGTCTTTACGGGATGCTGGTTTAAATTACCTATTGGAAGTCAGCCGATGGGGTTGTGAAGGTGAGATGGCTAGGGCACGTTGTGCATTCCAAGCCCACAGTGAACATAGATTAAGCTTCGGAAACAGTTAGGGCTGGTCAAATGAAAACACTGTCATGAGTTCATGAAGTCCTCTGACAATTAGTTTGAGACACACAGAGCGGGGTAGACCGCCTGGTTGATGATGACCAATAGAGCTGGAGACTGCACTGGTGTTATAGCTCAAATTGGTTCTCATTGGCTTAGATACATTCACTCTTTGTGATTTCCCATATCCATTAAACCCTAATCTTTCTCCGTGTTACTACTATTCTTTCTCCCCCAGTTTTCTGCACATTACGGTCGTTTCTGAGTCCCTTTTCTGTTTCTCTTTTTTTTCTGCCGTGTGTACTTCATAGAGTGTGGCAAGTTGAACTTCTATGCAAAGTTATATGTTGAAACTCAGTCAGTCAACCAGTTAGAATTGTGTATTTATTTCCTTTAAAAACTCATAAATAATGTAAAATATCTTTTCATAAGCAACATTTTCTTCAGCCAGAAGTACCTATGGTGTTCATTGACATTTGCCTTATAGGTAGTTTGTCATCAATTATTTCTAAATGGTGTAGGCATGTGTTTTAATAATCAGTGGGCTTTAAGCTCTGTTTCAAGTTACCGAGTTTCCCATGTGAGTATATACATATATATAATGTTATTTTTTCTCTTGTTTTTCATATTTAATTGATTATCTTTCATTTCTTTCGTTTGTATCCCCAGTGATTCAGCTCATCGGATACTACCACTTGCTGGTCAAGGCGTTAATCTTGGATTTGGAGATGTTGTCTGCCTTGTTGCTCATTTAGAGGATGCCGTTTCACATGGTGCTGATATAGGTAGGGGGGGGGTTAATTCTTTCCTTCTTTCTTTCTTTCTTATAAAGCATGACTATTACAGTAGTGGTAGGCACTTTTTTCAATTTCAAAGCAATAATTATTTATAACTCACGTAAAATTTGTTAACACGCCTACTTATTATTCATCATGTGCAATTAATAAGATTTGTAAACCTTTATCAACCTCATTCAACAGTGTGTGTGTTGTGTGTGATAATGCCTTGTGGTTAAGTGATTCACAATGGACAGCTCAAGGAAGCCTTTGAGGTGAAGAAGGGAGTAAGACATGGCTGCCTACTATCATCGATGATATTCCTAATTATGGTGGAATGCATTATGCGTCAGACTGTGCTTGGGACTGGGAAGATAGGAATACTTTGAGCTGATAAGAAGACTCTAGAAGACCTGAATTTCGTGGATGACTTATTTCTTATGTCACACAAACTCGAAGACTTGCAGGCGGAAAACCAACAAGCTGGGAGAATGGGCAGTCAGGAAAGACAGGACTTCACAAGTGTGAACATAGAGAAAGCAGGGGTGAGGAAAATAGCTAACTGACAACAAACAACAATCACTGTCAGGAGGAGAAATTCGAAAGAAGTCACTTTTTGCACGTATCCAAGCAGCGTCGTTTCAACTACAGGCGACAGCACAGATGAGCACATCGAAGCCAGTCAAGACAAGAAAGGCAAGTCAGACCTTAATTAAGTCCGAAATCAATGTGGGAATCTGCCACGCTCAGCATAAAGAACAAGACTCGAATTTTCCACACTAACATCAAGTCTGTGCTTCTGTATGGTGCAGAGAATTGGCATGTTACGAAAAGCATTTGGAACTTACTGCCGCGGGCTTTTATCAACAGCTGCTTTCGCTGGCTTGATACTGAAGATCAGCTGACCACCTGCATGGAACTCTGGCAGGCGACGAGCTAACCATCAAATATATACAGAGGCAAATGGAGATGGATTGGAAACACACTGAGAAGGCTGTCGGGTGACATTGCACACCATGCCATCGCTCGATTGAGAAACGACGATTCGGGAATGAGTCATAGTGTTGCGTGGGGGAGATCATGTCAGCAGAAGATGAGAGCTTATGTTCAGTCGTGGAGCCAGCTAAAGGAGATGTGTTATTAAAGTTCCACTTGTAAATCTAAGTGAATAATCATGATAATAATCGTGGTACAATGGTGGCCTGGTTTACAGTTTACGCTTGTAGCTTATCTGTATCTTAGTCTAGTAATTCGGAGGCAGCTGATTTGAATCTTCTGCCCTGACCCTGATTTTCATTCCACTACAAAAATTATCATCACCATCATGCATTACAGTAATAATAATAAGCAATCAATACTTGAAAAAGGTCAGAGTAGTCAGTTGGTTACACAGCAAAAGAAAAGGTCATACCACTCACTTTATTATATGTAGCCAATAATCACTGAAAATATGCATCGATTAATTTATCAAAATAAATAACTGAAAGCTGATTAATATAATGTCAACTGGAGCTACTAAAAAATAGTTATTTTTCATAATAATAATAACTATCTGAAGACTGAATTGCCTATTCACAACTGATGGAAAAGCGAATACCGCTGATAATGATGGTGGTAGTAGTCCCAACCAATAATTATAACAAACAAACTAAAGAAATTAGACAATTGAATATTCTCATCTTTGTTCTGTTCATAAGCCTGACGGAATACTTCTTGTGTGAATTAGATGATTAAAGGTGTTTAATGAAAAAAAGAAGAAGAACTGTTGAATTATGCTTTAAACATATATGTGTGTGTGCTGCTATGCGAATGCTGTTTTTTTTTCCTTCACGTTCCCCAGTGGAACATAGGGCTTCAAGCTAGTGGCTTGAAGTTTCTGTAGCAGTGTTTATTTTACAGGATGGGGTTGCTGGCCTCATGCCCAACCTTTCCTCTTCACCAGCATTATTTCTCACTCAGCGAGGTAAAGGAGTGGGTTGGCCGGGGATCGAACCCCGGACCATGTGCATGGTCGGCGAGCGTCCTAACCGCCATACCACCGACGCGAATGCTGTAGTACAGCTGTTAATTTGTTTTAAGTCAACTGTCTTGTGACAAAATAAATCCCTATAGCAGATTTTAAAAGTTAATTCACTTTGTTTTCCCCTCACATAATGAAGTCAATTTAAAGTAGGAATGATCAGTAGTGTATGTTGTCGTTAGATAGAGGCCCTCCTCCTCCTCTTCTAATTCCAGGTGATTAAGATTTACAGAAGAAGAAGCTCTAGCTGTGTCGCAGGTAGTAGTTTGTAATGGTGACCTAGTTAGGAGCTGTGTCTTGTAGCTCAACTGGGTAGGTCGTTAATCCTGCCACTATCCAGATTTTCACACAACTGGTTGGTTCCCTTTATTAGTTTGAATAATAAAAGAACGGATGTATTTGCAGGATATTATGAGCTCGTTTTATTTCATGGACTCTCTTTAACTGTGTGCACATTTTCTGAACATCCGTTTAACAATGACTTCGAGTTATAGATGATACAAATTACAGGCAACATAATTATAAAAATGATCTAAGTAGACGAATTATTCAGCGTTAGAAGAGTAACTGTTTACGAAATAATTAGGCAAGGGGGTAGATTTCAGATTTCACTTAGAAACAACGACGGACTGGAGACAAAATACATGACAGAACAACACAGTGAATTTATACAACATAGTATGAGGGAGAGTTCAGGAGGGTGGGAGTGAATAGTAAAGTAAAATCATGACACAAACAAATAATTAAGTAAATTTGGAAATTTAATTGTGAGTTCAACTCAGTAAGTGAAAATCAAAATTAAGTCGAATGTTATGCAGCAGCGCAAAATACAAAAGCACACGACAAAAACAATCATGGTTACCAGGGTAGTGAGAGATTAGCCACCCTATCTTTCTGTGTAAGAAGAGGTTGGGGAGAAGTTTTTTGATGGCAGTGGCTTCTGCGAACCGAATTAACCATGGTTTTCCTTGTGTATTCGTTATTTTGAAAGCTTGACTAATTTCCAGTATGTCTCGGGTCATTTAAGTATCTGGCTATTGCACTCAAAGAATTTCGTAGGGAAGCTTTCAGAGGAATGCTCAGAAATTGAGTAGACGTCTCTCTCCATCCTTCCTATGTTCTTGCTGTTGTCTCAAGTGCAGGTAAATTTGTAAAAGCTATTGGAGTTGAAATTAGCTGGACACTTATCTACTTTTGACTCAGTTAACTAGTGGAATGAGTCTGGCAGTGAAAATTATTGGTGTGAGTTGATCGCGAAGCTTTCATTGTGTGTTCCTAGGCAACATCTTCAGTGCTTACTTCAATTTGAAGTGGATGTGTTTGATTTCTCCGTGAATAATATGTGACTACATTAGTATCTATCAATTCATCAGCCTGTCCACATTAAGATTTAGTTTTGAACTCAAAGGTGAAGAAGAAGAAAAATTATGGACAGAGCTAAATTCGAGTGTATTTTCAACTGTTAGTGCAAAAAATTAAGGTGAAAAAACCTCTAAATGCCCTAAACAACCGATCCATCATGAATGTCATACATTTATTTTGATCTCTCATAGTTTGCTCCTTCAATGATTTTCTGATTTTTTGTAGAAAATAGATAACGGATTATGCTTAAATGAGACAGCTATATATATAAGGGAGAATTAGTCTCACTCTCTCCCTCCCTCTCCATCTAAATTTCCTTTTCCTTGGTTGGTTGGTTGATGGAAATTTGTAAGATTCTTGATAATAGTTGTTATAGTTTAACTCTGCTGTCCACTTTGTTGAAAGATTTTTAGATGACACAAGCTCTTAGTTTTCTGATTTTTTTAAAATCGTGAATATATAATCTTTGTAATTGTATAAAAATTGATTTTTTTCACACTAGGGAAAGAAATTTTAATGTCTCCTATATGCGTTTTATAAAGTGTTTTAAATATCTCTTTTTGTCTACAGGAAGTGCAGCATACCTTAAAGACTATACAAATGAGCGACAAAGAATTGTAATCCCATTGGCTAGTACACTAGAAATGATCAATTTGTTATACTCTACCGATGCATACTGTAATCAATCTATCTCGACATTTGAAGAAAATGAAGTGTTACGTAATTGTCAAGATTCTGGAATTTCACGTTTAGTGAAAAATCTTCTCTCAGATATTCGAGGTGCTGGAATGAATACCGTCCAGTCTAGTGAAGTATTAAAGGTGAGTTCAGTGTGTTGCCCGATAGAATTGTATCATATTTTGATTTGACACTAGTAACTAGTGTGATGCATCTAGTCCTCTCTTAGGTAGCTCACCATCACAGTGTACATGGTTTGTGATGATATTAGATGGTTGGAGGCAATCGGCAGGAAGCTTTGGACCTAGGTTTCGTGCTAGTCGGCACTCGTCAGCAAGGTGTATCTGCAACCTTGAAGGAACTCATGTCCCTTCTGAGATTCGAACCCGCGTCACCCAGTGCTGCAATCGGAGACGTTACCACTGGGCTATTCGGGCTCACGATTGACCTCCTGTAGGACTGTAGTGGATATTTTGATTTGACACTAGTAACTAGTGTGATGCATCTAGTCCTCTCTTTTTGGTGCGGACTGAATTCTGTCAGTCAGGTTGTAATGTGGCCACCGTCATCTTTTACGGACTGATTGCTGACAAATCTTCGGCATAGAATAAGAAATTCTCGTTTCACTTGGATGTCAACTTGTGTTGTTGTTCTTGGTGCTGGTGTGAGATATCCAGCTGTTTTACTGTTTTCAGCAGTTCTCTCTCTCTGTCCTTCTTTGCGGTTAAGACATAACCATTGAAAGTGAAAAAAGATGATATAAAGAGACTAGCTATCTTTGATCATACATGTCTGCATTCTGTGTTCCTGTGATAGTTTGTACAATATTATCAGAAATAACGAGGTCACACGTAGAGTAGAGTGCTGGGTGAAGCTGCATCGATTGGGATGGCTATGATGATTATGCGTCATGCATGCTAAGCCATTACATTCTTCAGTGAATAATGTCAGCTTCAATAATAGGTCCAGCTTAAGAAAAGTTAAAGATGACCAGATCAAAACATGACACTTAAAAGTGTCGATCGGCCAACTAATGTCCTCGTTAGGCTAAGAACTAATGCTTAGAAACTGTTTGATGGCATCGCTGAATGTCATTCTCAGTGGTGTAGATGTCTTCATCTTCTCCTTTGTTACCAACCAAGGTGGATAGCTTGAAAATACTTAATTCTGTTCTTCATGCACCTATGCATTAGGCATAAATGTGTTCACAGCCCCATAGAAGATGTACAATGCATCAATGACAAGCTGGTCATTGACTAGTGAATCAATCTGTAGATTAGTTAATGGGCAAGTTGTTAATAGCAATAAAGTAGAGGTGGGTAGTTTCAATAAGATTGATTCTTGATCATATAAATTCTTTATATTAAGGTGTTTGATTGAGAAGAGTCACTTTCTACACTGCAAAAATAACCTCTGTGAAGTCAAATATGGGATTCAAGAAGTAATAATGATTTATTTGAGTTAACTAGCTTCATTGCATCACCAGACACTGCTTTTACAATTAATAGTGTTCTCTGAGAACACTATTCATTGCAAATCATCCACCTGAGCTACAAATCTTCTCTATTATTATTTCAAGACACTGCTTTTATTTTATTATCTGACTGGCAACAGAAAAAGAAGTGCATTTGAATTACTCCTCAGAACTGAGTCATTAGGTGACTAATTCGATGTTACACGATTATTATTATGACTATTTTCATGAATTGAAGGACCTTAGAAAGGGCTACTGGCAAGTCACACATACTTCAGCAAAACACCGACGACTAGTTAGTTTCTCTTTTCGACAAAATTCAGCTACAAACTGTAAACTTTGTGTTTCTGTGTCAATCGAATCACTTTCCAATATACAGCAGAATACAAACTGATTACTGATGATTGATTCAGTATAATGAGTCATCTATAGCAAGATTATCACCATTAGAAATGCAATGATGTCTCTAACTCCTGTATTTCGGACAGGATAATGTATAACGTATTCACAGGTAGGTGTGTAAGATGACTTGAAAGATGAAGTTTTTAGACAGTGAAAGCAGTCGATTATTGATATTGGCCTATGAACAAGATTATTCAATCCACTGTTATAGCATTGTGTACGATGCAGCAGCTCTCTTCGTCTCTAGGATCCAAACGCTAAAATCTATTGGTGGTATGGTATGGCTCGAAATCGTACTCAGTGGTGCAGATCAATTCGCTGTTTGTGTAATCCTACAGATTCACTGAGTTCTCATATTTTCTGTGTTACCATACTTCATCCCGTACATTTCTGCTCACTAAAGTTCTCTTGAGTTGTTTTTTATTTTATCATCTTTCTTTGCGCTATATGGAGTGTGGGAGGTGAAATTTAACTGTCTACTATAAAACGTACCTCTTCATTCGGTAGTTTTGAGTAGATGGTGGAAAACTGCATGGAAAGAAAAATTTCATTCCAACTTTCTTATATCCTTGGGATGAACAAAACACAAGTAGTATTACTGTGTGTGTGTGTTGTCTGTCTGTCAGACGTTGATCAACAGCTGCTTCCGATCGATACTGAATATCAGATGGCCAGAAACGATAGATAAAAAGGAACTCTAGCACAAAGAACCCATCTCCCCACAGATATTTAGAAGGAAACGGAGATGGATTGGGCATATACGATGTGGAGACCGTTTAGTGACATCACGTGCCATGTCGTCGAGGGGAGACCGATTGCGCGAGCGACAGGTTAACAATCCGAGGGTGACATGGAGGAGGAAGATGTAAGCTCATGAGCAACCGTAGAGCCAGGTAAAAAAAAAGGACTACAGACAACATAACACTGTGGTGGTGTGCTGTTGAAGCCCTGTGTATGGCTGAAAGAGGTATTCCACAAACGAAAAATATTCGTAATGCCAGATGTCTTCATCCTATCTTCTGAATGATGTTCATAAGAATCTGAGCGCAAATAAGAAAGGTTGCATTAGTTGGGGAGATCCTGAGTAACTATAATTACATTCAGATGACTACCAGTCATACATAAACCAAGGTGGCCAAGATTAGTCTTATGAAATTCACTCTAGCCAGTATCTCTTAATGTTGGGGCGATTTTTAAGACTTTCATTATTCAACTTACGACAGTGATAACAGCGAGTTTCTATGCAAATCATCTTTAGATCTATGCAGAATATAACATACACCACTAAAATTATTACGTTGGTTTTCCAATTCTCGTCATGGCCAACAGTTGAAGCTGTATGGTTCGTATGCTGGATCGGCAGTTTTACGACTGAGAGTAATTGAACTGTGATGTACGTCAGCAGTGCACAATCTATTTCTGATTTTGTTGTTATTCACCTGAAAAAAACTAATACACAGCTAATTCTATCAATTTTAGGACAATTTGTAGGATAAATCAGTTAAAACACTGCAAATATGAGCATTTGACGTGTTAAGAATAGTGTGATGTTGATGCACTATAAAAACTACATGTTCGTAACTTATTCATTATTAACAGGAAGATGGATGTGAAGACTCACACTTACAGGAATCACATGTTACCCAGCAGTACCGACAGTAATGTTTGTCAATGAAATGCTTCACTAGAACAGCATACAAAAAACATCTTGCCGAAAATCGTCATCTTATTATTCTGTCCATAATGGAGTTATACTCTACCACAATGAAAACAAAACACGTAGATCAGCGAAGAGTCTCTTTTCGGCGAATTCATCTTCTTAGCTGTACAATCGCAAATATATATGCATTGTTTTGTATGTATGTGTACATTAAGTTTGTCAAACAAAGTTACAATCGGTTAAGGTTAATTTTAACTAAACAAGTGAAGGTTGGTAATACAGGTCAAGAAAATTAAGTGTTAGTGAAACTAGGGTAGTAACAAAGGGGATGAGTTGTCACAAACAGTTGTAATAATAGTAGTGAGTTTTACTCAGGATGCACATAGAAACAAAGTAGAAATTATGTAAGAGATCTAAGTGGATACAAGAATTACAATTGCTTAAGGTTATTTCAACTAAACAGGTAAAGGTTGGTAATATAAGTCAAGACAATTAAGTGCTAGGATAGTAACAAAGGTGATGAGTTGTCACAAACAGTTGTTAAAAGAAGTTATGCAATAATAATATGAATATTTTGATGAGTGAGTTTTACTCAGGATGCACATAGAAACAAAGTAGATAATACGAAACTGTGTAAGAGGTCTAAGTGAATACAAGAATTATGAGCAACTAAGGAACAGGCAAAGAAACAAAATTAAGTTATCAAAATAAAATAAAATAAAAACTCAAAAAATCAAAACATTGTTACCATGAGAGTAGAAGTGGTTGAGTAATCTTCTTTTGTATGCACAGCTCCGGTTTTTCCATGTGAATGGCTAGAGCTTCAGCGATACAAAGGAGACGAAATCGTATTGCCTTTGACATGTTGTTCTTGACTCGGTAGATTACTTTGAAGGAGGCGTTCGTTGAAATGCAATGATCAGTGCTGACCAGGTGTTCAATTATCGCACTCCTTATTGCACCCGTATTGCCTTTTCGCAATGCCCAAGGTTTATACTTGTACCTTATTCATCAGTCTGACTCTTTTTTCCATACACTGACCTCCGTTTCATTGATCAGTGCAGCATACTTTTGATCCGATTAGCTTTGGCTCCCTCCCCACCCCGGTAATATCTGATTGTGCTTTAGCTGTGCAATGTACAGCGTTGTTGTCTTGTTGTAACAGCAATGATACGAAATCTCACCTCAAGTAACCTCAGTTTAGTTTTGTTATAATAGAATTTGCAAAAATCGATAGGTGCCAATGAAATGTGTCGAAGCCGTCTTATTCTTTTTTTCACCAAAACAATTAACCTTTCACATTCAGTGCAGTCTGTTTAGTGAACAACCAAACACGAAGATAAAATCTTTGTGTTGACTTGACTACTAGACTGAAAACATTTTCAGTATTTTTAATTTCTGGAGTATACTTCGTATTTTGAATGTTATAATTTAGGGTTATCGCTGTTTTTGTCTTGTGTGATCGTTTCCTCCGGGAAGGATAGTTCACGGTTTTCATGCTTTCGTTGCCTTTCTAAACAACATGTCTCTTCAGGGCTTACTTCAATGTGAAGTGAATTTTTTTTTAAAATTCTCCCCTGTTTACCTTGACTGCCATTGTTTATCTTCAGAGGTTGGTATATTAGTATTGCTTGTATAGTTGACTTTCTAATTGATGTGTTTTCAACTAAAACTAGGAACCATAGTTTATTTTACCAATGATCAAATCGAGGCGTCGGTGGCGCAGAGGTAGAATGCTCGGGGATCGATCCCTTGCCGACGCACCCCTTTACCTCACTGAGCCAGTAATAAAACTGATAAAGAGGGAAGGTTGTGCATGAGGCATGAAGCAACCCCATCCCGCCTCTCTCTTGAAGCCCTATGTTCCACTGGCAACGTGAAGGAATAAAAAAAATAATAATTACATCTAAAATCTGGATACACTGCGTGCGTAGGTGACACATTTGTCATACTTAGAAAAAATGATTTTTTGTCATATATTCACAAACTAATCACCTGTGTATTCGAGAACATCAAATGGACAAGAGAAGAGAAATCAGACAACAAAACTTCTTTCGCAGAATTCCAACACAGGAAATCTAGAAGTACAAGTATAGAAAAAGTCAATCAATGTAGGCCAAATACTCAACTACAATTGCAATAATCCAACATCACATCATGAAATTGTTTACAAACATTATTCAGAATATCCATAAACACACAAAGGCAACACTCCAATGTTGAGGAGTTTAGAAGAGAAATATTTACTGAACTGTCTCCAAGGAAAAAGGATATTCTTCCAAATTCATCTAAGGTGTCTACACCGAAATCAACCAGACAGCAAAATACTGTCCTCAGAAACCACAAAAAAAGACTACACAAATCAACTGGACCACTTCATTCAATGTTATAAAGGACAAAAGACCTAGCAGAAAAAGAAGATAGAATCAAACCTATCAACAGTGAGAAACATTATATTGGCCAAAGTGTGGACTTCCTCTTCGATTTCAAGAATATAAACTACTTGTCGGTGGCACAGTGGTAAGGACTCTCGCCGACTACGCACATGGTCCGGGGTTCGGTCCCATGCCGACGCACACCTGATATCTATGGTCGGCCTGCTAAATTTGGGCTACCGATATCACATGCTGAAAAATTTCATACTTGTACCAAAATACTGTGCGGAATCAAGCTATAATAAAAAAATAAAATAAATTGATGCATGTAGACAAATATAGAAACCATATTGATTGAGAAAAAAAATGTGGAAATACTAAAAGTGCCTGAGATATCCTAAAAATTTGGTGTATTCAGATCAACCTACACTCAAAAGATATGTGTACACCGATCAAATCTATCTGTCAATGAATACGGAATAAATCATACATTAGAAAAACGTCAAATAGAGAAGTTCAACGAAACCAGCAATATCAAAAAGAAAATGAACACAAGGATGATAAGCGAAATCTCTGACAATAACCAATCACGTTAAAGGTAATCAGGGAAGACAGTTATTATCGTTCGTGGAGAATTTCAGAAACTCGCTTTATTATTGAAATATTAACCGACTGAGATCCAATATAGTTAAAGTTGCCGCATTCCCTGTAGCACACAAAGGTTGACAAAAGAGAGATAACGATATTCAAAAAGGAGTATAATAAACACAAATGTAAGAGAAAAAAGAATAGTAACATTGAAAAGAGAAAACGGTTTAGTGGATATACGAGATTGCAAATAGTGAATACATACGCACTGTTGAATACGATTTTCAGCCATATCACCAACAGTCTCCAGCCATTGGTTGTTAGACGTATGCTGACCTCAACCCCCAGGCAGTCTACAACTTCCTATGCGGCTGGAACTAACAGTCAACGACTTCATGGACTGACCATCACTTGCCTTTTTTGCAACATCACTTGTCGACGAAGGCAATAACCTGGTATGCGCAACACGTGTCTCAACTTAGGTGGCTTCACAACGATTGAAGCAAGTCCTGTGAGGTTAAAAAAGGAGGCGAAAGTCTCACAACTAAATTATCCTCCTCAGGGAGCACTTTAACCTGAGGTGAAATTCTTCTCCGTTCTTTTGTAGTTAACATACTTCTCGATCATCCCGATTCCTGCATAACATCCAATATTTATTTATTTATGTCTTTATTTCCATTTTTTTCCTTTTTCAGAAATTTTTGATGGAAGTAGCTGTTACTGGAGAAATTCGATCTCCTGCGTCAGAAAACACAATGGTCTATTAATTTCGCTTCTCTTATGTGTTGATCTTTGTGTATTACTGTCAACTAGTTTTAACCAAGTCCTACACTTTTCGATGTAAACTAAAATCTACTCTAAGTGAGGTTAGTATTCTGATAAATTTCTCTTGGATTAGTGTAACAGGTTCAGGAGCTCCTTTCTTATGGAGAATTCGTCTTTGTGGAGTCTTTCTTACCAACTTTACTCAGGGTCGTACCACAATATATATATATATATATATATATATATATATATATAGCGAAGCCTATGTTTGTAGATTTGTTCACTTTGTTTTGTTTCCGTAGTCCTTTTACAACCTTTTTTTGTGTAATACTGCGCACAATGTATCAGGGATCAAAACTTCTCCAAGATGTTTGCAAACCTGCATATGTATACTTTTTCTTAACCTATGCAGTTATAGAATTAGTGAAATTTATTTATTTATTTATTCATTATTATAACAAGTGAGGCATTTACTTTAGATGTTCGCTTGATTTATAAGTGTATAACTCGACAGAAGTAAAGATTGAATATGTAGAGCTTTCTTTTGTTGTATTGATTTGTTAAAGCTTACGGGAGATTTCAGCTTGTGTTGTTCAAATCGTGGCATTTTTTAAATCATCATTATTATTATATTATTATTGTTATTAAAGAATAAATTGTACACGAAACTCCATCAGTATACAACACTGTTCTCTATCGTATAAATTATTGCATTCTAACACAATGCGGGATATATTATATATATATATATATATATATCAGGTGTGCGTCGGCAGGGCGTCGAACCCCGGACCATGTGCGTAGTCGGCGTGCGTCCTAACTGCTGTGAAAAGTTCCAGAACTATTTCCCACCGAAGGTCCAAATACAACGAATAACAAGATTTAGGATAGGAATTAAAAAAAGTGATTATTAAAGTATAAACAGGAAGTTTGGGTGAAAAATATGGCAGGATAATAATTATTGAGAAAATTTACTGTTCATGTTAGCCATGGTAAAGACACAGGTTAGACATATTTCCTTTGAATACACAGAGTCGGCTTAGATGGTGAACTCAGCTTCATTTGAAAAGTCCTTCAATGTCCTATACGAGGTCCGATCACACCTCTTAAAGAGATTGAGGACAAGACGTCTGGGATCGCTGAAACACTAGTGATCGAGAAATCATAGTCAACGCTGTGTATTCAAAAAATACGTGTAACCTATGTCTTTAGCATGGCCAACATGAACAGTCAATTCTCTGGAACTTTCTCACCCGATTGCTATACATACACGAATGCACAGCCTAATTGGGGACTTCGTCGAAACGAAAATTTCCTTCATGACAACAGTCTTTTTAATCTTTCTTGAAGATGGTTTCCTTAGTTATATATATATATATATATATATATATATATATACATTACAGAACATTCTAGAATAGTCGTAATTAACAATATTATTTTTTTTAAATACTATTGATTTGTTAATTAAGATAATTGAAATTATAGTTCGAGAAATAATAATAAGCATAAAAATGTAACAGCAGATAGAATATCAAATAAAATTAAGAAGAAAATTTCCGCAACAAATTGAAGATCATTGAAATCTTGACTGTCAACTTCTTTTGGATACATAAGTTAGGTTTCTTGAAGTGTATCCCAACGACCTTAACAATATGTAGTAGATGAACTCTTGAGGTAAAGTTAAGATTAGTCGGTATCGGGTAGGTGAATTTGAAAACCTCGTTAACAGCAATCTTGTGTTTTGTATCCACAAGATGACATTGAATAGCACTATGAATGGATTTTGTTTGTCCTTTACTTAACCACGCAGGGTGATTTTCGGAAATCCGACGATAAACACGTCTAATCGTATGGCCTTTGTAACTGGCTTTACAGGAGCAGTCAAATTGGTAGATACACATAGAAGAAGCGAAATTAATCAGTTTATCTTTTACTCCCAAACGCAAAATACGGGTGGTTTTGAAGATTCAGCATAATTCAGTAGCACTGAATACTCTTTTTACCGCATTCCTTAGGCGTTGTGTTAACGTGTCACTGATATTATACTCGAGGAACTGAAGTTGTAGGAATAAGGCCTTTTTCGGAACTGCTGGTACTTTGGTTTTCCTTGACTTGTGATTCATATTCTTATCGATGAACTTTTCTGGATAACCGTTCTGACCCAGCAACTGTTTAATAATATTAAGCTATTCATCAGAGCAGATTGCTCTTACTCTGTGGATCAAGCACTTTATTGGATTGCGTTTGTATTTCAAAGGCACGAAGCTGAAAAAATGAACATACTGACAAGTTGATGTGGGTTTTCTGTATGAACTCCTTATTCTACCGTCCTCTTTTCTAGTCATAAGGACGTCTAGCATTCAAATACTACAGTCTCTTTCTTTTTCGATGGTAAAATATATTGGAGGATGAACATCGTTAAATTTGTCTAGGATTTTCTTTGCTTCATCCTCATTTTCTTAACCAGAAATGTATCATCCATGTACTGACAGTAGAATTCTAGTTCATTAATTTCATCTTTTAAATGCCCGTTCTCTAGTTCTGCAAAGAAAATATCGGCTAGGATGAGTCCTAGTGGTGACCCCATTGCCACACCATCAATTTGTCTGTATAGTTCCTTATTAAATAAAAAGTGAACATTCATTGTGCATTTCAAAAGAAGCTCTTTTATTAAAGATATAGGAATGCCGACATCAGTGTTTCATCTTATGAGTTCTTTGCATACAAACTCTATTGTTTCCACAAGTGGTACATTGGTGAATAAGGAAGATACGTCAAATGATATCATGAATTTATTGTCAACGTTTATATCTTTTATCCTTTCAACAAAACCAAAGGCGTCTTTTACTCTGTGTTTCACCAATTTAGTATGTAGAGGTTTTAAGAGTTTGATTAACCATATAAATATATACATTATTGTAGAGCCAGAAGAAGAAATTATCGTTAAAAAATATTCTTTGCTCAATTTCTTTTCTAAATGTTTGAATGAATATTTTCGTTATATTCGTATTAAGTAGAACATTCGTCTGCATCACTCATCTATTTTTCGATTTGTTCAACTTTCCAATCTCCTCAATATTTTCTCTCCGGTGTTCAAACAAAATTAACAGTTCAGCTTGAAAGTAGGATCGATTGGATTTGATTTATTGCGCTGCATTTAAGAATTTCCGAGTTCCTAATAATTGAATGAAGTTGGCAGTATTTAGGGATAGTTTGAGTCTGCAGTTGATTGGTCTAATTGAACTGATGTGACCAGTTTATTTTGGCATAATGGACATTAAAACGAACTCTTAAATAATGTCTTTGATAGGTGGTGACTAACACTGAAATCCAGGATGTGTGTTACATCATGTTTGAAACACTTAAGGATATATGAACCTGCAATCCAGTAAGTGACAGACTTTGAAACAGTGGATTCTAAACTCCAATGAGTTGTTGAGAACACTCTCACTCATAGGGATGCTGTTATTTCCGGCTAACGAGTCCCAAATAAGTGTAACCCTTATCCCTATTTCTTCTGCTAGCCACCGCTTATTGTATAAGTTGGAATTATACCAACTCGTTGATGCTTGACCGATAGCTTCTACTTTAGTGTGATAGTTGGGCCTGCTTATCGCAATGACCCGACGAGCTACACTGATTAGAACTATTGCTCCCTGTACATCCTACTATGCCAGAAAGGTAGTGGTTAAACTAAAAGCAGTCTCTCACTTTAGTGTTGTGGATTTGATGACGAAATCGTACTTCCGGCGAATAGGAACTTAACATCAATAAAGTGTTTCCTCAGAACGAGCAGCAAGCCAGCTATACTCATTCTACACTCTGAGGAGGAAGTGTTAGCAAAGGTCAACCCAGAAAGTCATACATCCCTAATTACCTTGTGGCAACATGACCTTAATATGGACACAAGTTCAAAAACAAACTCAAACAGTTATCCCGTGGGTCATGAGGTCACGAAACACCAAAGATCGTTGTGTTTCACGTATTCTGAGAAGAAAGTGACCTATACTGTGTGGATACTGATGATGTAATAACCGCCCAAATACAAAGCTTTTCTGATCATCACCCATCCCCACCCTTTTACTTTCCTCCCACTGTTGATACTATTCCACAGATAGGTTCTCAACTTCACATATGAGCACTTAACTCAAGGATTCTTCGCCAACGCAGATAACAGGCCTCATTAACCAAAACTCTGGCATCTCGAGCTACGGATGTATTTTGTGTTTCGCATACAAGACACAACTGTGGTTATTCACTTAATCCTACCTCGTTAACAGGGGGAATCTGCAAAATTATTTTTTACGAGTGTCAAGAGGTTTCTCAACTAGTTCATGAGGACTTGCTGGTATACGAATATCATTGAGTGTTCCCCCAAAAATTCCCTAGCTGACTGGATTTAATTTGGTTATCCTATGTGTGCTGTTCTGATCCGTTACAAGAAGAAGGAACCGACAACTGTGACCATCTCTTATGGTTCTGTTCAGATAATCATCTGCACTAACTTCAAACATGAGGGGAGACATTGCCTCACCTGGCAACCTCTGTTATCAAATCAACGGTGAACTAGAACAGACCACATTTTGGAAGGCTATTGGTGGAAGCAGAAGACTATTGCCGCTTTTGAAACATCTGTGTTGGCTATGATCGCTCTGTAGTCCGTGTATGTTTATGCCTAAAACTGAATGAACATAGATAACAGGTAGTTGTGAGGCAGATATGTCCTCAATTTGATGAGAATACTAAGTCCCTATTTAGAGATTCAAATAGCTAAAACCCTATATAAGATTAGCAGCAAGACTCATCCTGAAGAAGCCTAGTCAGCTGTAGAAATAGTTATGAAAGATCTTGGTAATCTCCGGTCACTGGTTAGTAAATGCTGATGGATTTCTTTTGCTTCATCCTAAATGATAAACGCAAAAAGACTAATTCCAGCATACTCCGAAGTTGACGAAGAGCGAAAACTGATGTCACCAAAACAACTGCGAACGGGGTAGTC